GGGGTCCCATTCCCAGGAGGGGGCATGCAGGAGGCAGCCGACCATTCACTCTCATCAAAGTTTCTCCCTCTCTCTCCCTCTCCTTCTCCCTTTCTCCTAAATCAATAAGAACTATTTTGTGAGGGGTTTTTTTTTTTGTTTTTTTTTAAAGAATCAAGTCCTGGCAGCTCCAATCCGAGTGAACCTTGAAAGCATGACGCTTAGGGAAAGAAGCCAGGCACAGAGGACGTTGTAGGATTCTACGTACATGAAATGTCTGGAACACGCAAATCCATGGGGACAGGAAGCAGACAAGTGGTTGCCGGGGCTGGGGGAGGACTGGGAACGACTGTTATGGGTAGTGACTTCCTTCCGGGGTGATGAGAATGTTCCGGAACTAGATGCAATGGTGGTTTCAGACATCGGGAATGTTCTGAAAGCCACTGCAGCCTAGGCCTCAGGAAGCTTTCAAAGGCGCGTTTTTCTCCCTAAAACCAGCCACTCCTCCTGCTCAGGGCAGAGAATGAGGACTTCTACCTCCCCACCCCCACACCACCGCCTCGTACCCACGAGAAAAATCATCGCAAGGAAGATTCGGAGCTAAATTGTGGGTCGAAACCAGAGGTCACCATCCAGGGGCCCAAGGACTTGCTTGGTTTGGCCAACTCGTATTTTTGAAAGTTGGAACGAGATGCCTCCAGTTAACATCGGGAGGTTTCCGCATGTGGTTGGCCAACTTCCCTTGAAAAACTGGGGAACCAGGCCCCGTGTAGACACATTTCCTGGTGGTGAAAGTGGGCACAGCTGAGCAGCCGGCGGCCCCTTTAAAGGGGGAACGAGGTCTCCATTTCACCACAGTCCCCAGCGCTCCCTAATGTCTTACAGCTGGTCCCATGTACTCACTTGTGCCCCCCTCTGGCCTGTGTACTCCCTGGGTACACCTGCCCCTGGTGTAAAGGGGTGCGGGTGGGGCTCCACCTCACAGCTGAGCACCCTGTGCAGCCCACCTACCTGTTCAGCCGCACCAGGCAGCCTGGTGAAGAGGAGGCGGACGGATGGAATCCGAGCCCATTAGCTCCGGATGCTCCCGGGGGCAGGGAAGGTCTCAGCCAGACTCGGAGAGAGAAGCAGACCTGGGGGCTTTGCCGGGGGAGGTGGGGTCCGAGCCCTGGCACGGCTTCCGTGCGATGGATACGGGAACAGGCCGCGGAGGGACCAGCATTCCTGCCGCCCAGGTGCGGTGCTCGGCCCCAGGCGCCCACCTGCAGCGTCCTCCCCAGCTCTGCAGCTGGGAGCGGCACCTCAAGGCCCTGGGCTTCTGTCCCTGCGGCTGTCAGCTCTGACTGTGACCCCAAATCAGATGCATAGCCTCCTCCCAACACACACGCTCTGGGTCAGAGTCTGCCTCGACCAACCGACCAACCACCGTTTGGGAAAACCCACCTGCTGCCCCTTAAGGCACTAATTCAGCTTCAGGGACCAGCTGGGAAGAGGGAGGGGGAGGGGAAAGGGAGGGCATGGCCTGAGGAAGGCCCAGGGGGAGGGCCTGGAGTGGGGGCCTGAGTGCTGGTTCTAGAACTCTCTAAGCCCCCTCCCCAGATGCCAAAGACACGGCTGTGGGGACAGGCTTCCCCAGGCCCCTGCCCCCAGCTGAGACCACTACCCAGGACCAGCCACGCCATCTGCAGGGCCCGGGGCAAAATGAAAACGCAGGCCTCGTGCAAACATTCGGAAGAACTTGAAGGTGGCAGCTGCACGGCATTAAGCAAAGTTGCGGGCCCTTCTGAGCTTGGGGACCTGCACCCCGTGAAGCTGGTTCTGTCCCTCCCTGCCCCTGGGTCCTCACACCAGGGCTCGGGGTCCCCACAGCACCCCCACCCCCGCCCGCCCTGTGCTCCCACTATAGTGACTGCCTAGCATGGTGCCTAGGACTAAGGAAGACAGCCATATCAGTTACATTAATCCTAACAGAGAAAGTCAAGTCCAGCCGGTGTGGCTCAGTGGTTGAGCATCGACCTATGAACCAGGAGGTCACGGTTCGATTCCCATTCAGGGCAGGTGCCCGGTTGCGGGCTCGATCCCCAGTGTGGGGCAGCTAATCAATGATTCTCATCACTGATGTTTCTATCTCTCTCTCCCTCTCCCTTCCTCTCTGAAGTCAATAAAAGTACTTTTTTTAATTAACAAAAAAAAAGAAGAAAGACTGGAGAAAATACAACAGGAGCTTGGGGTTTCGTTGCCAGCGGTCGCCAGGGCTGGCTTCCCGGCTGTGACGAATGTACCTGGGCCACGTGAGACGCTAACGTAGGGGCGACTGGGGGAAGGCACAGGGCAGGAAGCCGCTGGCTTAGCTGGGCCTGTGCTGTAAGTCTGGAATTACTCCAGATTAACAAATGTGCGGGGTGGGGGAGCCTGGAAAGGTTGTTCCTTATGGAAAAACACGCAGGTTACGGTGAGACAGTAGCTTTGTTCATTCAAAAGAATGCCACGCCCAACTGTGAGCCTGTGTGGCCACCCCAGTATGAAAAGGCCCATCTGCCTTCTCCTGGGGGAGGGGCTGGCGTGGCCTCTGGGACCCCTCGGGGTCTGGGTTTGCACATTGGGGGTCTGGAGCTGACGCTGGCGGGACAGGGAGGAGAGCCTGGAATTCCCAGCCTGGGCGGGGGCGGGTGGGGCGACGGCAAGACCGGACCAGCGTGCAGGCTGCAGCTGGTGACTGGGCTGCACGTGGTTGATCGACCCCTGGTTTTGTAAAAATAGCTTGGGCCCATCTATAAAAAGCAGTTGATCTCATACTGAAATGGAAACTTCCGACTTCTCTGGAAACATCTTGAGATCTGCTAACCGGCCTTCCTGCGAGGCCCAGCCATGCCCTTGGATCCGAGCTCCCTTAGCCACAGTCCCCACCTCCCCTCTCCTCACCCATCCCTGACGCGGAGCTCTGGTTGCCACTTAGCTTCAAGCTTGCGCCAGATTCTGCTTTTAGTGGAGCAGGGAGCTCTCTCGGTAACCACGGCAGACGCTGAAAAGCAAGGCCGCCCGAACGCGGTCCGCGGCTCCTCACAGCCGGCTGGCGGCCCTCGGGGCAGCTGCGGGCTTCCTGGGGACGTGTGTTGAGAACCCGGGTCTAGTATCTGATGCTTGGCCTTGGCTGCAGTGCCGACACGCCCTCTCCAGCTTCCTGCTCACAGGGGTCCTGTGGTTGGGGTCACACACACACACTCGCTTCCTGGGTGTGAGGCCTGGTTTTAGCCCTTACCAGCTGGGAGGTCGCAAAACCTCTCTGTGCCTCAGTTTCCTCCTTTGTAAAGTGGGCTGCTGGGGTCCAACCCCAGCAGGTCCAGGGGTCCCCAAAGGTGTGGACAGAGTTGGCAAAGAAGGAATGACACAGAGACAGCGTTCAGTTGATCAGCAGCCTAGCCAGGATCTCTAGCCAAGTTCTGGTCAGGATCTCCAGCGAAGTTCTGGTTAGGATCTCTAGCCAAGTTCTGGTTCGGTTCTCTCACTAGGTTCTCCAGGTTCTGTATCTAGGTTCTCCAGCCAAGTTCTGTCACCAGGTTCTATCCAGGTTCTCCTGACAAGTTCTGTTGCTAGGTTCTGTCCAGGTTCTGTTGCCATGTTCTCTCGCTAGGTTTTCCAGCCAGGTTCTGTCGCCAGGTTCTGTCCAGGTTCTCCAGCCAGGTTCTGTCACCAGGTTCTAGTCAGGTTCTCTTGCCATGTTCTATCCAGGTTCTGTAGCCAGATTCTGTCTCTAGGTTCTTCAGCCAGGTTCTCTTGCTAGGTTCTGTCTCTAGGTTCTGTGTCCTGTTGTCTTGTTACATCTGTATTTATACCAGTTGATTCCAATCCTATCAATCTCTATTCCAAAGGTTAGGGCGTTTCTTATCTCCATTCCACGGAGTAAAGATTTAAGCGTGATTGTTCGTAGTTAAAGTGATTAACTACCCACCTGGCACTTAGTTGAGGGGTTTTATCCCCTCCCTAACTTCAGGGAAAAATCCCTACTTGGGGAAACAACCTTTCTCAGAGAGGTGACCTTGTTTAAAACACATAGCGCTAAGGGGAGCAAACATATTAAGAACAGTATGCTATATACGCCAGGTCCCTTGAAACATATGCTGTGCAGATGTTTCTTCCCTGCAGCGACTGTGTCAAGCAGCAAGGATGGACTAGCTCCAGGCAGTGGGCGTGATATTGTATGTACCTTTTAGGGGTTTTGTGAGGATTACGTGATAGAGTTCATGCAAACCGTGTAGACCTGTGCCTGGAACAGAGCAAACAAGACAGAAAATGTCAGGGGGTGACAGGGGCTGTGACGACGACAGATCAGGGTGACGGGAAACTCCACCTTCAGGACTTGTTTGGGGGGTGGGACACGTGAGCTGAGAGAGGAGTGAGAAGGAACCCGCTGGGAACCGAGTGGAAGGAACAGTGTGTTGGGCAGAAGGAACAGCCAGTGTAGAGGCTCAGAGGCGAGAACGAGCTACACTTTCTCAAGGACCAGAAGGGAGGAGGCCAGTGTGGCTGGGGCAGAGCAACGAGGACCAAGGCTGAGGCCGAGAGGTAGCCGGGGCCCCGGGGCCACCGGAGGTGTTTGCATTTGATGGGCTGAGAGGCTGCGGGAGGGTTTTCAGCAGCCAGAGGAAGACTGATGGACAAGGGAGCAAAGGAACTGACCGCTGTCCTGTAGCTCCAGGGGCTGGCGAGGGTGCGGGGCCTGGTCCTGATGGAAAAGAGCAGGTGGTATCGGCTGGGTCTCGGCCTCCCTGGGAGCCTCAGGAGCCTCGGGACTCAGAGGGGACCGGTCTCTATTACCCGGCACAGCCCCGTGAGTGTCAGGGACGTGAGTGTCAGCACTGGAGGACCTGGGGGCACCCAGACACGGGGTGAGGGGGAGGCCCGAGGCCCCCAAAGTCTCTCCACAACTACCCCAGGCAGGGCCCGGAGGAGAGCTGGGTCTGATGGACAGACCTAACCAGGTAATGGGGCAGATGCCCCAGGAAGAGGTCAGAGGTCAGGGGTCAGAGGTAGTACACTTTATTGACTGGGTTCTCCCAACATCTTGCAACCTCCCTGCAAAGCCAGACCCTGGACTTTGCCACTGTCCCATCCACTGGTCAGGGGAGAGAACGGGTGTCCCAAACATCAAAGGCCTGGGAGCAGCAGAGTGGCAGGTGGGGGCAGGTGGGGCGGCCAGCGGTGGGGAGCCGGGGAGGGGCTAAAGCTGGGTGCTGGGCTGGGGTCACCCCGAGGCTCCGCCAGGCCTGGCCAGCCCCCCACTCCCCCAGTTAAGGTTCGTAGTGGTTCACAGTGAGACTGGCTCGGATTGGGCAGGCGGCGGGGGCGGCGGACATCCTCCCACCCGCCCTGGGCCTGACTCACGAAGCTGGGAAGAGGGAGAGAGGGGCAAAGGGAAGAGGCCTAGTTCCCCCCTGACCTCCCCCAGGCTGTTGGGAAAGGTCATTCATTCCTGGCTCAGAAGTTTCTAGAACGTCTCAGTGACCTTGCCCGCCATTACTCCCAATGAGAAAATATTTTTGAAATCTGGGAGTTGGCCAGGGACCATCCAACCAAACAGTGAAAATCCCTGGTGAGATCCTGGTGTGAAAAGGTGACGCTGCCTTCGCCTCGGAGATCAGGTGGGGAGACCGCGGCGCCCCCACTGTCCAGACGGGAGGGAGTGGCTCGCGGCCTGGGGCTGGCGGCCGGGAACCGCGGGAACCAGGACAAGATGCAGGAAGCAGTGACACGGGGGCCTGGCAAGCCGCCCGCCAGGGCCGTGGGCCTGGGCTCAGGGGCTGCCCTCCGTGGGCACATCCGCCAAGTGGGCGCGGGGCCTCTGCCCCACGGGACAGGCAGGGCGGACGGTCAGGCCTTGTGGCCGCCGCTGCCCGGCTCGCTGTGGCCGGCCGTGCAGTCCAGGGCGGGCTCGAGCCCCAGCATCTGCCGCTGCACCAGCTTGGCGTAGAGGCCGCCCTGGGCCAGCAGCTGCTGGTGGGTGCCCTGCTGCACCACGCGGCCCTTGTCCAGCACCACGATGAGGTGCGCCCGCTCCACCGTGCTCAGCCGGTGCGCGATGATGAGCACCGTGTGCTTCTGCAGGTTGCCGTGGATGGCGCGCTGGATCTGGGGAGACAGGAGGCCGGCTGGCCACCCACCACCCGCCTCATCCCTCCTCCTCCCCGGCCCCGACCGCCCCACCCGCCTGGACCCCAGCTCTCCCACCTCCTCGCGAGCTGGGTTCATCTGAAAAGCCAGGACTTGGCAAGACCTGCTTCTGGGCTCTTGTCCCTGGGGACAGGCTCAGCGCCCAGCAGCAGGGGGAGCCCGGTGAGTGACAGGTGGGTCCCACCTGGCCTTCCTGCTCCGTCCGCCGACCTCAGCCTTGGTGGGTGGTCTCCCCATCTGCCCCCGAGCCCATGCCAATGAAACGAAACCATCACCCTCCGTTCCTCAACCTCCCTCGGGGCCCGAATCCAGCTCAGAGCGAGTCCTGTGGACGCTGTCTCCCCAGTTACCTCGCTCTGCTCCGACCCTCCACCTCCCCCGCATCCCGCCCCCTGTTCCATTCCCCACACTGGTTAACGTGTCCAATCAGTTCTTGTTGAACTCCGGCTCCAGGCCCTCCACTGGCTTCTTGTCCCACTTCGGATAAAACCCAAACTCTGTCTATGATGGCAGACACACAACATTCTCCATTTGTCAAACCCACAGAATGTGCAACACAACGGTGATCTGCAGTTTAGACCACGGACCCTAGTCAGTAAGAATGCATTAACATTGTCTTGCCAATTGTAACAATGTGCCACAATAATATGGGAATTCTCTGAATTTTCTGCTCCATTTTCTTGAGACCTAAAACTGCTCTAAAATTTCAAATCTATTAATTTTTTTAAGATATGTTTTTTAAAAAATTGATAGCAGAGAGAGGAAGGGAGGGAGAGAAAGAAATATCAATGATGAGAGAGAATCATTGATCGGCTGTCTCCCTCACATCCCCCAGTAGGGACCAAGCCCACAGCACGGGAATGTGCCCTTGATCGGAATTGAACCTGGGACCCTTCAGTCCACAGTCTGACGCTCTATCCACTGAGCCAAACCGGCGAGGGCGACACACTGGCCTTTGGACTTGGCTGTGAACCTGCTCCGGCCTTTGCACCTGCTGCCCCTCTTTCTGGGATGCTCTCACCCCAGAACTCCCCTGGCTCCCTCCTTCCCTTTCGGGTCCCGGCTCAAGTGGTAGCTGAGGACCCTGGTTCTGGCTGTGGGCCTGGCAGACTCGGGGCACGTCTGCTCCATCTGAAGCTGCACTCTCAGAGCCTTCACTACGAAGGGCTGTACTCGCACACGTCCTCTGAGCCTCTGAGAAGCGTCTGTGAGCCCCCTAACCGCGGGGGCGTCTTTCTCAAGGACCGGAGGCCACGCTCTGGCAGCGCAATCATCAGGGTGGCCAGGGCCTCGGTCCCCGTCTCCAAGGGAGGACAGAATCCCAATTTCAGCAGCTGCCGGGGGCAGGCCCCGCTGGCCTGGCCGCACCCACACGGACCAACCCTTTGTGGTTTCCCCTTGAGCCCGGCTCTTCCCTGCGGACAGGAGTCGCTGAATGAAATCTGTGTCTCCCGCCTTAACTACTGCCCGGCAGTTTCTCTTCGACAATGGTGACCCTCCCGATCTCTGGGTCACATGACTGCTTCATTTTCTACGGAGCATAGGCCCCAGGTTGCACTCATGCTTGGGTCCTTGTTTAGTATCTGTCTTGCCCCCAGGAATGGAAATACCGTGGGGGCAGAGTGTGTGTCTGGCCGGTCAGTCCGCCACTGTACCCCCAGTGCCTGGATCGGGGCCTGGCGCCTGGGAGGACACAGTAAATACCGGACTAGCTCCCGCCGGTTTGGTTCGGTGGATAGAGCGGCGGCCCGTGGACTGAAGGGTCCCAGGTTCAATCCTGGTCAAGGGCACGTACTCCCGCTGCAGACTCGATCCCCGGCCGTGGTTGGGGCGCATGGAGGAGGCAACCAATGGATGTGTTTCTCTCACATCAACGTTCCTCTCTCTGTCTCTCCTCCTTTCCAGTCTCTCTAAAAATCAATGGAAAAACATCCTCAGGTGAGGATTAAAAAAATAAATAAATACTGGCCTAACAAATTAACCGACCCACGGGGAGACAAGGGTCAAGTACATGGGGCCTCTCAAAACCGAAACGGCCCTGGCTGGCGTGGCCCAGGTGGCTGGGCGTTGTTCCGGCATGGACAGGTCGCCGGTTTGATCTGGGTCGGAGCACACGCCTGAGCTGTGGACCCCATCCCTGGAGGGGGCGTGCAGGAGGCAGCCGACCGGTTTCCCTCTCACATCGATGTTTCGCTCTCTCTCCCTCTCCATCCTCTCTCTCTGAAAAGAAATATCAACATTAAAAACAAAAAACGAAATGCCCCAGTCTACGAAGCTGATGGTCTGGGGGAGCCCCCGGGGCACCCCCAAGCCCTTCCCAGCATCGCCCGCCCCCCCAACCCCCCGTAACCCCAAACTCACCAGGAACTCGCTCTCCGCGTCCAGAGCGCTGGTGGCTTCGTCCAGGATGAGCACGGGCGGGTTCCGCACCAGAGCCCGGGCCATGGCCACCCGCTGCTTCTGGCCCCCCGACAGCTGGGCGCCCTTCTCCCCCGTCTCTGTGTGGCAGAGGCACAGGGGCAAGCGGGCGGGCGGTGAGGCCAGGCAGCCCTGCGGGTGAGCGAGAAGGCCCGTCCTCCGCTTCCCCTGCTGCCGCGGGGCTACCCTCCCAGGAGAAGTGTGGTCACCAGGGCCAGCGTCTGGGACCACCAGCAGTTCAAGCTCACACAAGGGCCCTCGCCAGTTTGGCTCAGTGGCTAGAGCATCGGCCTGTGGGCCAAAAGGTCCTGGGTTCGATTCCAGTCAAGGGCACTACCTCAGGTACAGGCTCCTCCCTGGCCCGGGCCCTGGTCAGGGCTCCTGCAGGAGGCAACCAATCGACGTGTTTCTCTCACATCGATGTTTCTCTCTGTCTCTCTGTCTCTCTCTCTCCCACTCTCTCTAAAAATCAATGAAAAAATATCCTCGGGTGAAATTACCAAAAAAACAAAATAAACAAACACACACACAAACTCACAAAAGGTTGCTCTCCCTCCAGTTCGTGAGAGGCATGCAAATTACGATGACATGCAAATTACGATGACATGCAAATGGCACCAAGATAATAATTTTCGCCCATTAATTTGGCAAAAATCCAAATGTTTGCTAGTCCACTGTGCTGGTGTGGCCGTGGGGAAACAGGCACGCCCCATCTCCCTGGGGGACCCCTATCACTCCAGGAATGCGGCTGCAGGGCACACGTCTCTGTCTCTCAGTTGGTACTGAGCAGGTCTGTGAGTCCCAACTACAGTGCACAACCCTCCTGCCAGCGAACCCCCCCAGGGAAGTTTCCCTACAGAGCAGTGTGCCCAGGCCCAGGGCGCAGGCACAGGGCCCAGGGCCCAGGCCCAGGTTGTGCGTGATCCACAGTGCGTTACTGCAAAAAGCCCACAAGGACCCAAAGACCTACTGAGGTGTCCATCAACAGGAAACGGAATAAATTACTTATTAAGTAAAATATTATAAAACTCATACACTGGAATACTATGCAGCTGTTTAAAAAAAAAGAACGCAAAATCCAAAGGAAGTAGAAAGAAGGAAATGATAAAGATCGGAGTGGAAATAAACGACACAGAGATTTAAAAAAACAACAGACAAGGTCAATGAAATTAAGAGGGAGTTCTTGGGCCGAAACCGGTTTGGCTCAGTGGATAGAGCGTCGGCCTGCGGACTGAAAGGTCCCAGGTTCGATTCCGGTCAAGGGCATGTACCTGGCTTGCGGGCACATCCCCAGTAGGAGGTGTGCAGGAGGCAGCTGATTGATGTTTCTCTCTCATCGATGTTTCTAACTCTCTATCCCTCTCCCTTCCTCTCTGTAAAAAATCAATAAAATATATTTATAAAAAAAAAAGAGGGAGTTCTTGGAAAAGATACACAAAGTTGATAACCCTTTAGCCAGACTCATAAAGAACAAAAGAGAGTGAGCCCAAATGAATAAAATCAGAAGTGAAAGAGAAGTTACAGCTGGCATCACAGAGGAATGCAAAGGATCATCCTATATAATAAAGTGGTAATATGCAAATTAACTCTCACGCCCTCACAAGATGGCTGCCTACCACCAGGCCGGCAGGGGGGGTTGGTGAGGGACGACCAAACGACTGAACAGCAGGCTGTGTGGGGCGACCAGGCCAGCGGGGGGGGGGGGGGGGACAGTTAGGGGCGACCAGGCCGGCAGGGAGCAGTTGGGGGTGATTAGGCTGGGGGGGGCAGTTGGGGACAATCAGGCCAGAAGAGGGGGGCAGTTAGAGTCGACCAGGCCAGCAGGGGGGACAGTAAGGGGTGACCAGGCCGGTGGGGGAGGGGGCAGTTAAGAGCAACCAGGCCAGCAGCGGGGGGCAGTTAGGGGCAATCAGGCAGGCAGGCAGGCAGGTGAGCGATTAGGAACCAGCAGTCCAGGATTGTGAGAGGGATGTCTGACTGCTGGTTTAGGCCCGATCCTGGGGATTGGACCTAAACCGGCAGTCAGACATCCCCCGAGGGGTCCCAGATTGGAGAGGGTGCAGGCTGGGCCTCTAGTTAAAGAATACTATGAACAACCCGAAACCAATACAGAATAAAGAAAAAGTACTATGCCCGCTGGCGTGCCTCAGTGGTTGAGGGTTAACCTATGAACCAGGAGATCAGAGTTCGATTCCCATTCAGGGCACATGCCTGGGCTGTGGGCTTGATCCCCAGTGCAGGAGGCAGCCGATTCTCTCATCTGATGTTTCTATCTCTCCCTCTCCCTTCTTCTCTAAAATAAATACAAACACGTTTTTTAAAAAAGAAAGTGGTTGCACTTATGTGATGTGAATCTCACCTGCAATAATAAAAACAGCTGGCAGAGGCCCTGGGTAGCTCAGGGGTCACCCCCGGGGGAGCCCCGCCCAGTGGAGGTACCTGGGTAGCTCAGGGGTCACACCTCGGGGAGCCCCGCCCAGTGGAGGTACCTGGGTAGCTTAGGGGTCACCCCCGGGGGAGCCCCGCAGAGGAGGCACCTGTATTGTAGCCGTCCTGGAGCTCCATGATGAAGCCGTGGGCGTTCGCCTTCTGAGCAGCCTCCACCACCATCTCGAAGGGCACGGTGGGCAGGCCATAGGAGATGTTCTCCGTGATAGAGCGGGCAAACAGCACCGGCTCCTGGCTCACCAGGGAGATCTGCAGAGGAGGAGGAGGAGGAGGAGGAGGAGGAGGAGGAGGAGGAGGAGGAGGAGGAGGAGGAGGAGGAGGAGGAGGAGGGAGGCGATCTGAGAAGCCGGGACTGTGCAGCCAGCTGTCACCAGGAGCCTCGCCAGCCCCGGCCGGCTGGCTGACGCCAGGGGTCTCGGGTCTGAAATCTGATCGGGCCTGCGCGGCTCTGCACTGAGCTACCTCTCTTCCTTCCCAACCATGGAGTCTGCACAACCCTGGGCCTCCCCGGACCCACAGACTGGGGCCCGTGGAGCTTGCCGCTCGGGGCTAAGCCAAGCTCCCTGACCTCCGGCAGAGCTCGGGGTCTGCCTGCCCTGGGAAAAGGAGAGAAAGAAGGCAGAGAGCAGCTCTGAGTGAGGCTGCTCCTGCCGGGAGGTAGGAAGGTGCAGCACGCCCCGGCCGCAGACCTCCCTCCTGCCTCATGGTCCTCGTTTAGGAATTTGGTCCACAAAAACCATAGTATGGCCCGGCCAGCATGGCTCGGTGGTTGAGCGTCGACCTGTGATTCCTGGTCAGGGCACAGGCCTGGGTTGTGGGCTCGATCCCCAGTGTGGGGCGTGCAGGAGGCAGCAGATCAATGATTCTCTCTCGTCATTGATGTTTCTATCTCCCTCTCCCTTCCTCTCTGAAATCAATAAAAAAAAATATTTTTAAACTGATTGTATGGACTCAGGATAGCATTGCAACATTGTAAATAGCAAAATTTAAAAAACTTAAAAATTTAGTTGTCCGTAAATTGGGGATTACTTACCGTGTACCCATAAAATCAAATCGTCATACCCACACACGGCAGAGTCTATTTTCCTTTAAAAAACGACACATGGGCCTTTGCACATGGACACATTCGTATACAGATAGGAAACAGGCAGGAAGGGACACTGACTAAGCTGCTAGCACTGGCTATGCCCACGGGTGGAATGGGGAAGGTGAGGTGGAAGGGACGCCCATGACTGAATTATAAAAGTTCCCCAGTAATCGGGACTGTGGTTAGAATGTTGTACTTTATTGTTTTGGATTTATGAGAATTAAAATGTTAAATTTAGCCCTGACCAGTTTGGCTCAGTGGATAGAGTGTCGGCCTGCGGACTGAAGGGTCCCAGGTTCGATTCCGGTCAAGGGCATGTACCTTGGTTGCGGGCACATCCCCAGTAGGGGGTGTGCAGGAGGCAGCCGATCGATGTGTCTCTCTCATCAATGTTTCTAACTCTCTATCCCTCTCCGTTCCTCTCTGTAAGAAATCAATAAAAAAATATATTTTTTAAAAAATGTTAAATTTAAAGGAAAGAAAAGGTATTCACAAAAGAGGAAATCCAAGTGGTGAATACCCTGATGTCATTAGAAAAATGCAAAAGACCGCCATGAGGCCCCTCTACCCACCCACCAAAGGGCTACAGTCGAGGATGGACCAGGATGTCGCGTGTCTGAGGGTAGCCGCCCCTGCAAACCTGAGCAGCTCAGCCCAGTGACCCTTCCAGAACGCCGGGGGGCAGCAGCTGGTGGCCGCACGCCTCAGACCATTTCTCAGCCACCCACCCCACGTTCTGTGCACACGGGTGGGCAGATTCCACCACCTATGGCCTCTGCCGCCACCCAGGCCCTCCCGTGACCTAGTGTATGTCGGTGATGCGAACGGTGCGTCCTGAACAGCTGGTGTTTCTCATGCAGGGCGTGCCTGCTCCCTGTCAGCACAGCGTCAGGTACAGAGGGGTCACCATAGCCTCCGTTAAGGACTGGAGGCGAGGTCAGCGGGGACCCCGGGTCCCTCGTCACTGCTGGTGGGTGTGAAGGGGCACGACCAGCCCAGTGGCAGGAACGAGGGGCGGCACGCCTGCGTGCACCAGGACACGACACCGCTGTCCACGTCAGTGCTGCCGGTATCAGCCAAACCAGGAAATAACCCCAATATCCTCTAGAGGCAGAACAAAGAAATCGATTGTGACATGTTTACCGTGGATTATCATCCAGCCACGAAAACGAATGAGCTACAACCATAGCCTCGACCGGATGACTCCCAATAGCGTCGAGGGAAGAAGCAAGACACGGATGAATGCATGTGCTGTGATCCCGGCTCCTCTCTCTCTCAGCTCCAAGGGCCCTTCTGCTGCCGCCATAACTTGTTTCCTGAGCCCACACCGCCCGGCTGGCTCACTTTTCCTACCTGTGTGGCTTTCGTCTTCTTTTTAAAAAAATAAATACGTTTTTATTGATTTTTAGAGAGGAAAGGAGCAGGATAGAGAGATAGGAACATTAATGAAACTTCAATATAGATCAGCTGCCTTTTGCACACACACACACACACACACACACACACACACACACACCGACACACACACGGGGGCTCGAGCCCATAACCTGGACATGTGCCCTGACTGGGAATCAAACCCTGACCTCCTGGTTCATAGGTCGACACTCAACCACTGCGCCACGCTGGCCAGGGCCTCTGTGATTTTCTAAATAAACTTTCGCTCGTGTTTGAAAAAAAGAAAGACAATTATGATCCTAACGGTGGTGAGATGTTGCCCCAAGGGGGCCTCCGGGGGGCAGGGTGTTCTGTTCGTGACCTGGGCGGTGTTATGTGGTGATTTGTCCCTGAACTGCACCAATCGCCTCTCTGCTCACGAGAAAGCGGCTGGGACACAGAGAGGGCGGAGCGGGCAGCAAGGCCCACCACCTACCACGCGGTGCAGGAACTTGTGGTCATAGGCGCTGATGGGCTTGCCGTCCAGCAGCACACGGCCCCCCTCCAGGGGGTAGAAGTTCTCCAGGATGTGGACGCAGGAGCTCTTCCCGCTGCCCGAGGGCCCCACGAGCGCAGTCACCTTTCCTGGGGACAGGCTGAAGGAGACGTCCTGCAAGGAACACGCAGACACGGTGTGGACCCCTGGCTTAGGTGCTCGTGCCCCTTTGCCATGGTTGGGCACCGCTGGCTCCCGGGATGCTCTCCTTCCCAGGACCTGGCCGCACTTTCATAGCTGTCTCCTCTGCCTGGAATGTTCTTTCTGCAGAGAGCAACCTGGATTGGCTCCTGCGTCTTGTTCAGGTTTCAGCTCAAATGTCACCTCCTCCGAGAAGCCCTCCTTGACTGCTATGTTACCTCATCCCTGCATGACTCCTATCACACCACCCTTCTGCGAATGCTCAGTCCTTCCTGACTAGCGCCCAAACTGCACGGGCGCAGGGCCTCTGCCTCGCGTACTCCTGGCTGCACTGCCGAGGCCGGAGGCCTGGTGTGGGGGAGGCCTGAGAGACAGGGTGCGGGAAAGGATGCCGGGGGCAGGCCTGCGCCCCCCTCTCACCTGCAGGACTTTGGTGTGGGGCCGAGTGCGGTAGGTGAAGGTCACGTTCTCAAAGTCCACGCGGCCCTCCACGTGGTCAGGGGCCAAGTTCCCATCATGCACCATGGTTGGCTGCCGGTCAATGAACTCGAAGACCTTCTCGGCAGCCCCCACTCCTTGCATCAGGCCGCTATAGACAGAGCCCACGGACTGCGGGGCGAGGAGACATGTCCTGTCCCACTGACCCCGCTCCGGGGGACACCCCCGCCCCACCCATGGTGCCAGGAGATGAAGGGGGGCGAGAGGAGAGCGAGGACGCAGCACCCATTCTGGAGGGGCTGTGGGAGGCCCCGCCTGCTAGTTCATGACAAGGACCAATGGGGTCAGGAGTGACAAATACTGATACACGAGGGGCCAGGTTTACAGCTAAACCTCAGCGCCGCCCCCAGACGAGGAAAGGGAAGCAGAGCAGTTAAAGGAACCAAACCGGCCAGAATGTGGCGGACGGGGAACGGAACCTTCCTCCTTCAGGGGCCACAGCGTCGGAAAAATTTCAATTAAAATAAGGGGTGTGTGTGTCTTAATTTATACTATACATCTCCGTGGGTGAAATATACATGTGAGTATTAATGGCACAGTTTGTGGGGTGCTGTGGGTATGCTACCCTTATCTCCTTTGTGCTGAGGAGGAAGCTGAGGCACAGAGACCTCAAGGAACTTCCCCCAGATCACACAGCCCTCTCTCCCCCCTGCACCCCCGGCCCCAAGCCGGCCCCTCACCTCCATACAGTCTCCCAGGACAAACTCGTAGATGATGAAGGAGATGAGGTTGCCGCTGGTCATCTGCCCGGAGATGACGAGGTGGCCCCCGTAGTAGAGGATGCTGACCTGGACCACCAGCAGCGTGAGCTGGGGGCAGGGGGCGGGGGGGCGCGTTGGTCACGGGAGGCTTGGCTCACACCTTCCCACGGCCCCATCCCCCGCCCCGGGCTGCAGGGGGAGGTGAGGGGTGCCGTGGGCCCTGCACTCCCGCCCCACACTGAACCCCACCAACAGCGCCCTCCCACAGGCTGGTGCCCGCCTGTCACTCACGCCCTCCCCTCCCTCCTCCCCTGTGGAGTTTTCCCTGCAAAGATCCCCAGCTGGGGCTGGCCGTGGGCCCGGCGGAGAACAGGGCTGTCTTTGTGAGTTCCTGGCACACGCACCGGACCCCAAACCCTCGGCTCGGCCAAGCGGGAGCCGTCAGTCCTCGTCCTCACGGGAAGAGCATGGATCCAAGAGGTTGAGTGCACCGGCCAGGGTCACACAGCCAGCCAGGCTGGCAGGGCAGTGAGGTCTGCGTTTCCTCACGCGCCCCCCCGCCCCCCGCAGGTTCCACAAAGAAGGAGCTGAGTCCCAGCACCCTTGCCCCTACCCCCTGCCCAGCGCCTGGGGCAGTTTCTGGGGGAGAAGTGGAGACAGCAGCCCTGACCACCCATTCAAGCCCCAGGGGCACCCTGCTGGTGGACAGACCTCGGGGAGGCTTGGCTGAGCTGAGTTTCAGGCCCTTCCCTTCCTGGCTGGGCACTTCTGAGGGGTGGCCTGCTCTGGGGGGGACCCCGATTGTCCCTGTCCCCTGGGTCCCCTGTAGACACCAGCTCCTCCTTCCCCTGAACACCAAACCCTCATCTTCCCTAGCCCAGCCGTTTCCCGATGAGCCCGCCGTCCAGATGTGGCCGCAGACAGGACAGGGTCCATGTGCCCCCAGTGCCCAGGGAGGGGCTGTGACCTCCATCCCTGGGAGTGAGCCAGGCCCTCTACCGGCCTGTCTGGTGGTGGCCTCGGTCCTGCCAGAAAGGGGCTTAGGCTGGGCCCCGGCTGGCCTTGGGGTGACTCTGGCCTTGGCAGGGAGTTCCCCCAGCTGAGAAGAGAGCTCAGCCCAGGACCCCACGCGCAGGGGCAGCGAGATCCCTGTGGGGACACTCACCCGGAGACTGCATTTCTTCCTAGAAAGCGTCTCTGTGCACAGGCAGCAAGCAGGGACGGCCTGCCCCCCGGGCAGGGACCCAGCTAATGTCCCGAGCAAGGGGCCCCCACGTTCGCGTCCGTCCCCGTGGTCGGACCCGCCCAGGGCCAGGGGCACGTACCCCGCTGCCCCAGACGTAGTACGTGTAGGCGGCCGCCTCCTTCCTGTTCAGCTTGTACACCTGCTGCAGCTTCTGCGAGTACACCTCCGCCTCCTGCTCCTCGTTGGCGAAGCTCCGGACGGTCTTCATGGCACTGATGGTCTCCTCGGCCGTGTTGCTGGCTCTGGCCAGGGCGTTCTGGACCTCCTTGGAGAGCCTCTGTGGACAGAGAGCGGGGGAGGAGACCCCACGGACAGTGTCACTCCTGACCTGCGCCCCAGGCCTCTGGGCTTCTCTGCCCTTCGTTGGCGCGAGTGAGCGCTCTGCAGGGAGACCCGGGGCAGAAGGGTGAGACCGAGCTCCCTCTCCCCCTCTCCTTCCAGCCTGATTGGATGGATGGACCTACAGAACAGACTGCAGCCGGCCAGTGGGCTCAGTGGCTGAGCATCAAACCATGAACCATGAACCAGGAGGTCAAGGTCAGGGCACATATCTGGGTTGCGGGTTCGATCCCCAGTTGGGGGCTGTTCCTATGTTTCTATCTCTCTCTCCCTCTCCCTTCCTCTCTGAAATCAATAAAAACACATATTTTTTTAAATATGAGAGGTGCCACTTACATCATCAACATACATTGAATCATGTGAGAGCCAGAGGGTCGGGCACGGCGGCTCCGGAACTGCCAGCCGAGCTCCAGGTGGCGGCAGAGGGCACGGACTGGAACGTCTGCCTGGGTCGTGTGCGGAGGGGACAGATGGCTGAGACGCGGGCCCAGGTGCGCGACCCCCAGGCTGCTGCCCGCGGGGGGTTCTGGAAGGGGACCCTGGGCAGGGCTGCTCGGGCTTTGCCAGAGTCACCGCGCTGGGCTTCTCCACCCAGCCCCTTCCGGGAGGCCAGCCGGACCCCTGTCGCCTGACCTCTGCGTCATGCCCAGCGGTCGGAACATGCCCAGCGGTCGGAACCCTGCAGTGTGTCAGCACCGGCGGCCGGCTGTGACGGCCGGCTGTGCCCCAGTCACGTCTGGCTGTGGGCGGGGTGTGTGGCTTGTGGCGGTGACTCGGAGGCTATATTCAGCACATTCAGGTGCGGGGAGAAGGCCACAGACAAAGAGCGTCCTTGAGGCTCCAGGGACTGAACCTGGGCGAGGCCTGAGGTGTGCACAGAGGCGGTGGCTGGGAGCAGGGGGGGGGGGGGGGGGGGGCGGTTCCGGCCCTGTCCTAGGGGCTGGGACAGGCGGGGAGGCAGGAAGGGCGGGGTGGGGAGCGCAGGAAGCCAGCTGGCCGTGACTCCAGCCAGTGAGTGCATTTACTTTTGCTACTCAGCGAGGGAACGGGGAGGCCCGTGACCCAGAGCCGCGGGCGCGAGGGCCCTCCTGGGGCACGTGGGTTCCGGGGAACGGATTCATGGTGGACCTGGCCTCAGGTCACAGACGCCAGAGGTTCCTGCGAGCTGATCCGGGCCTGGGGCAGGGCCCTCTGCTGCTGTCTGAACCCAGCCCGGGTCCCGGAGGGCTTAGGGCACCCACCAACGTGGGAAGCAGAGGAGGGGGAGCCAGGGGCCTGGCCCCCAAGCCCACCGTCCTGGCAGAGGCAGTGGCACGGGCCGGCGGGAAGGGACTGCAGCCTGCCCGTACCTGCATCGTGAGCAAGGGCCTCACTCATGGGAACCAAGCCACCCCCACAGGCACAGACGCTCCACAGAGAGCGCGACCTTTGCACTCAGAGCGAAAGCCAGAGTCCTCACAGAGGCCCCCCGCGTAGGGCCCAGCCCCTCCCTGCCCCCGTTTCCCTCCCTCTCCCTCACTCAAGCCCCAGCTCCCGGCGGCTCCTCCTCGGAGGCATGCTCCTACCCCAGGGCCTTTGCACGGGCCCTGCCCTCAGATGGCCGACTCTCTCTCTTGTTAATATATATTTTTATTGATTTCTAAGAGTAAAGGAGAGGGAGAGAGAGACAGAAGCATCAATGATGAGAGAGAATCACTGATCCACTGCCTCCTGCACGCCCCACACTGGGGATGGAGCCCCCAACCCGGGCATGTGCCCCGACCGGGAATCGGACTGTGACCCCCGGTTCACAGGTCGACGCTCAACCACAGAGCCATGCGGCCGGGCGAGATGGCTGACTCTTGACTCAAATGTCACCTTCTCAGAAAGATCTAGTTAAAGCTGCAGCTGCCCCAACCTCTCTCTCCTCACCTCGCTGTTCACCGTCTTTCACCACATTACGTGTTAGTATGATTGCTGTCACTTACCCTCCTCGTCTCCCACTAGAGCAGTGGTTCTCAACCTTGGCTGCACATTAGAATCACCTGGGAATTTCTTTAAAATCCTGATTTCTGGGCCTCATCCTCCAGAAATTCTGTTTCTTTGTTACTAATGTTGTGGCCCCACCCCATCACAAAGAAACAGAATTTCCGGAGGGTGAGGCCCAGAAATCAGGATTTTAAAAAGATTCCCAGGTGATTCTAATGTGCAGCCAAGGGTGAGAACCACTGCACTAGACCAGTGGTCGGCAAACTCATTAGTCAACAGAGCCAAATATCAACAGTACGATGATTGAAATTTCTTTTGAGAGCCACATTTTGTAAACTTAAACTATATAGGTAGGTACATTGTGATTAACTTAATTAGGGTACTCCTAAGGCTTAGGAAGAGCCACGCTCAAGGGGCCAAAGAGCCGCATGTGGCTCGCGAGCCGCCGTTTGCCGACCACTGCACTAGACTATAAGCTCCCTGAGGGGGGGCCTTATCTGCTCATCGATGCGTCTTGGTGCCTGGGACATCGGGGGTGCTCATGGCGTATTTATTGGCTGACAAGTCCTTCGCTAGCCCCACGGGACCCGGGAGCCCCCTGAGGGTGGCTCTGGAGCCGCCGCCCGCCGCCTACCTTGTAGTACTTGCCGTAGATGTCGGACACCATCATGATGATGGGGAAGCCCATGAAGGTGACCAGGGAGAGCTGCCAGGAGAGGCTGAACATGAAGACCACCACGCCCGTGATCTTGACCGCGTTCCGAAGGAACACGTTGATGTTCTGCGAGACCAGGTCGCTGACCATGGTGGTGTCCGACGTGAGGCGGGAGATGAGGTCGCCTGCAACACAGGCAGCTCAGCACCCGCTGTGGCCATGGGGCCACCGTGGGCGGCAGGAACGTGGGGGGGGGGGGGCAGGAACAAGGACACTGAGGGGAGGCGCCGGGGAGTTGGGGGACGGGGGGGGGGCGGGAAGATGAGTCGATGCCCCCTCGAGGGCTGCTCTGAGCCCGACCCTTGCCACCAGCATTTTATGCTGTCAGACCCATAGCACAGAGGAGGGACCGAGACTCAGGGGGGAGGATGCCTGCTCAGCGCCACACACATTGCCCGTCACTGAGCTGGAGCCAAACCCGTGCCTCTCCCCGTCCCTGGAGAGGGGGTGACTCCCCGCTTCCCTCACACGGAGAAATAACAAGCCGGGCTGTGGAGGAAGGAGCTGGGGCCTCCTACCAGCTGCTGGGCTAAGGGCTTCACAACCCCACGGGGTGGCTACTCCTGCTGTTCCCATTTTAGAGATGGGAACACAGAGGCCCAGGGGTGGTTATCGAGCGAGCGGTGGAACCAGGTCTTGGACGTGGGCCAGAGACGGTGATCTCGGCCGGATGCTGCACTGCTTTGCCCTGTACCCCCCGCCCCACCTCACTCACCCAGAGGATCTGGGCCCTTTTGGCCGCAGGCGTGGGTGGTCTTGGCCCCTGCGGTGCCCACAGGGCAGGGGAAGCAGGGCCTTGGCTGCTGCAGGGACCTCGGGTGGCCTGGCCAGGGTCCTACAGCGGCCACAGCTCACACCAAAGCCTCAGCCAGCAGCCCAGCTCCCCGGGGCCTGAGCCCGCCTCCTGGGACGAGTCCACCCAGAACTGGGCGGCAGAAAAGCCAGCATCGCTGAGACCACGAGCCTGCCTGACTGTTTTCTCAGCGGGAGGCGAGCCCACCCGCCTGAGCCGGCCCCCAGGTCCCCGAGGCCCCGCGAGGCGAGCCCACCTGTGCGGTTCTCGTCAAAGAAGCTCGTCTCCTGAGACACCAGCGAGCGGAAGAGGCAGTTCCGGAGGCGAATGTTCAGTCTGGCAAATATGAGGGTAAAAATGCCGCCCCGAATACCTGCGGCAAATGAGCTAATTGCAGATAAGAGATGTTATACATGGCACGGCGTCCTTCCGGCAACCGACGACCCGCCCGCCGCCCTCCCGCTGCTGGCAGGCCCGGGCCCACCCCTGACCCAACCCTGACCCACTCCCAGGGCTCCGTCCCCCACTGGAGCCCCCAAGGTGAGGGCGAAGAGGGGGCTGTGTTTACTGGGGGCCAGGACCCGACTTCGCCAGCCGGACCCCTCAAGGGCGCACAGGCTGGCCCTGGAAAACCAGACGGGGGAGCCCTGGAGGAGGGTGTGGCTCAACCAAGTGGACATGGGTGCTGAGCTAGTTCAGTTGTTGGTTCCTATGGGGACCAGCTGAGGGACAGGCCCACCAGCGGCATTTCTGGGGCCCCTCTGGCTCATTCCCTCGCCCCCCTCCCCCAGGAGCTGCCCGACCTCTGCCCCTGCTGTGGCCTGGGGGGCGGGCGTGGCGGGAGGGCTACCTGCCAAGGGCCAGCAGGCACATGACCACGACGGCCGTGCTGAACTGCTCCATGCTCTTCTGGATGACGATGCCGTCGATGGCGCGGCCGGTGTAGTAGGGCAGGAACGTCTCTCCTGCGGGAGACAGGGCTCAGGGGGCGCCTGCAGCGGGGAGCCCGCACCCTTCCTCCCGAGCCCCCCACAAACTCTCCTCTCCCCATGGCGGGGGCTGGGGGGGCCGTACATGCCGAATGCCCCCACTTTTCAGAGAAGAGCCACAGGAGGCACGCGGACTTGGATCTGAACCGAGTGTGTGGGAATTAATCACAGCTACCAGGCACCCGCCACGGAGCCACGGGGCCATGGAGTCATGGGGACCACGGGGCCATGGAGTCGCAGTGCCACGGGGGCCACGGGGCCACGGAGTCACGGAGTCACGGAGTCACGGGGCCACAGAACCCAGGCGGCATTGCATTCCCTCCATGCAGACTCTGAGGTTGGCCGTTGTCACCCCACCTCACAGCTGAGGAAAGTGACGCTGAGGAGCTGAGATGGCGCTCGCTCAGGCTCAGGGACGTCAAAGCTCACTGCTTTCTTGCTGGCGGGGGGTTCGAGTCTGCATTCTAGAGCCTCAGCGATGCTGGTATCCTGGCTGGGAACTGCCCCGCCCCTCCTGGTGGGCACTTTAGTTTGCCGATTATGTCCTACCCATTTGTCCTGTATCCTCACAACAGCCCTGGGCAGATGTGGGGAGAGTGGATGTACAGAGGGGGAATGGGAGACTCAGAGGGGCTGAGTAATTTGCCAGAAGTCACACGGTAATTAAGAGAAAGGGCCAGGACACACATCGAAACCAGCTTCCAATCTGGGGGGATGTCTTTCCTTGTCCCTTCCCTCCCCCAAATCCGGGTGCCCACTCGCATTCTGCGGGAATGATGGGCAGGGAGTGGAACGTGGTCAGACCAGGCTGGGTCCCCTGTCTTCAAGGCCGATCTTTCCCGAGGCCACAGCCTGGCTCGGGGCTGGGCATACAGCCGGCGCTCATAAAGGTCAGTGAATGAATCCTGGGCAGCTCTACAGGACTGGCTTGGGTGGGACAGGGAGGCCTTCTGTGGGGTTCTGGTGCCCTCTGCTGGTGGTGGGACGGGGACCATAAGGTGGCAGCTGCCATGGAGTCTCCAGCCACAGCTGTGGAGTCTGCCTCAGCTTACCCCGGGGAGAAGAGGCATCGGCGAGCTCCAGCAGCACTGACCGCAGCCAGCACCAGTGAAGTCCAGTGACCACACACGTGTTCACGGAGCCCTTACGGGTGCGGGCGCCGTGCTAAGCACACCCCCTTGTCCATCAGCACAAGAGCCACACGGAGCTCTCCAGCCGGCAAACCCGCGGCTCCGCCTCCAGAACATCTCCAGAACCCGACCACTCTTACTGCCCCTCCTGCCCCCCCGCGTCCACGCTGCCGGCCTTGCTTGGGCCACCCCAGCAGCAGCTCCTGGCTCCCCCTGCTCCGCCCTCGCGCCCATCAGCCTCTCCACCCATGGACAGCGGGAGCCGGTGAAGCCGAAATAAAACCTTGTCGTCTCTCAGCTCAAAACAGTCCGACGGTTCCCATCGCATCCAGGGTAACAAAGTCCTCGCAGGGGCCACAGCGCCCTGACCTGACCTCATCTTCCACTCTCCCCCTCACTCACCTTCCTGCTAGGGACCTTTGTACAGGCTGCTCCTGCCTGGAGCACTGTCACCCCACATATCTGCTCCCTCATCTCTTTCAAGTCCCAATAGTCCTACAGGTGTGGTGGCCTTCTTCTTCCCATTTTACAGATGAGGAAACTGAGGCTCAGAGAGGCTAAGTCACTTGTCCAAGTTTATGCAGTTGGGTTGCCACAAAATTCATCTTCAAGAATCTCAATTTAGCCCTGGTTGGTTTGGTTCAGTGGATAGAGAGTCGGCCTGTGGACTGAAGGGTCCCGGGTTTGATTCTGGTCAAGGGCACATGCCCGGGTTGCGGGCTCGATCCCCAGTGGGGGACGTGCAGGAGGCAGCCGATCAATGATTCTCTCTCATCACTGATGTTTCTATCTCTCTCTCCCTCTCCCGTCCTCTCTGAAATCAACAAAAATATAAATTTTAAAAGAGAATCTCAATTTAACAGGAGATACTCAAACGAACCTTTTTCCCCAATGGGCAGTGTTTCTTTTAGAATATGAGGCATCAGAAAAAGCTGGGCCCTCCTGGGTGCTTGTTGATTGAGGCATAAGTAATAATGATCACAGCACCTAACTTCTATGAGCACCCACTTTTCCCAGGCACCATGCTTCATCTGCCTGAATTCTCTCAATAACTCGGTGAACCCCCATTTCTGGATGAGGCACCGAAGCTTGGCCAGGCCATGCAAGCTTGCCTGAAGTTAGCAGGGGCGTCGGGGGCCTGATCAAGTGCGAGCCTTCCCCTCGACCCAGTCCTGCAGGTGCCCACACCTGCTCAGCTGTACCAGGACATCGGTGACCCCGAGGACACGCCAGCTGACAACAGGGCCCCGGCAGGTGCGGGAAATGGGGTCCCGGGGCAGCCTCTGCCCACACGGGCAGGATGGTCACTTGTTCATTGACTCTGAGCCTAGCCTGCCTCTGGGCCGGGCATCGGGGCGTCCGGGTGAGTCAGGCCCGGTGCCAGCCCCCGAGGGGCCCAGAGTCTGGAGGGGAGGCAGCAGGGTTCTGATTCTTGCGCCACCAATGCTGTTACTAAGGCGCAAAGGGCTTCTCAGAGGAGGGGACAGCTGGGCCTCGAAGCGTGAGTAGGAGAAACTATCTGGATACACGAAAAAGGTCATCCCAGCCGTAACCGGTTCGGCTCAGTGATAGAGCGTGGGCCTGCGGACTGAAGGGTCCCGGGTTCGATTCCGGTCGGGGGGCATGTGCCTTGGTTGCAGGCATATCCCCAGTAGGGGGTGTGCGGGAGGCAGCTGATCGATGCTTCTCTCTCATCGATGTTTCTAACGCTCTATCCCTCTTCCTTCCTCTCTGTAAAAAATCAATAAAATATATATATATTTTTTAAAAAAGGCCATCCCACCCAGCCGGCTGGGCTCAGTGGTGGCGCGTTGACCTATGAACCAGGAAGTCACGGTTCAGTTCCCCGTCAAGGGCACGTGCCTGGGTTGTGGGCTTGATCCCCAGTTGTGGGGAGTGCAAGAGGCAGCTGATCAACGATCCTCTCTCATCACTGATGTTTCTATCTCTCTCTGAAATCAATAAAAATATATTTTAACGAAAAAAAGGGTGGTCCCCATACTCACAGGTGTTAATATTTACTGGGAGCCGTCCCTGTGCAGGAGCTGCCGAGGTGTCTCACTCTATTAACTCGCTGACCCTCACACGCCCCAGTGTGACGGGTACTGTTATCCCATTTTACAGGTGACCCGTCTGAGACAGAGAGGTTAAGTAACTTGCCTAAATCACACAGCGGTTAAGGGGCCGGGACTGAGCGGACGGAGGGTGGACAATACGAGGGAGGGGCTGCAGGGTCGTGCCACCTCTGGGGTTTGCCTGTCCTCTCTGAGAATACTCTGGCTTGTGGCCACTCCCAGACTCTGCCCCTGTGAGTTGAACGGGTAATGACTCATCACAGCCAACATTCCTGAGCACTTACCATGCCATCCTGGGCTCTGAACTTGACCTCTTCCTGTTTGTATTCCAGCTTTACAACTTCGTGAAACAGGGACACTAACAATCCCTCCTCCAAACAAGAAGAAGGAGGCGGCTCTGACGTGTTCGATGACTTGCCCACAATCACAAGGCCAGGGAAGGAGCAAGACTGGGTAGCTCAGCTGGTTAGAGCCTCATCCCAATACACCACAGCTGTGGGTTCAATCCCCGGTCAGGGTCCATACACGAATCAACCAACGAATGATAAATAAGTGGAACAAGACATCAATGCTTCTCTCTCTCTCTCTCTCTTTCTCTCTCTCTCTCTCTCTCTCCCCCTTCCCTTCTCTCTCTTAAATAAATAAATAAATAAATAAATAAATAAAAATAAAGACTGGGCTTGTACCCAGGCCTTGCTGGAGTGTGGCTTTCGAGCTGTTTGGACCGACAATAGCAAATACATTTTACATCACACGGGCACACATAACTGAAACAAAAGTTCCACGAAACAATACTTAACCTCACCGCAGACAACATACTCGAATGGCCTTTTTTCTGTTCTGCTTCGTTACAAAAAATGCTTGGACTCAGAGCTCCCACTTCCAGGAATTTATCCTATTAATGCCCACATTTATAGGAAATGTGCATGAATAGGGCTACTTATTGCAAGAGAAAAAGACTCAAAACCACCCAAGAGTCCAACCACCGGAGACGGAACTAAATAATGATGGTGTGACCACACAGTGGTCTATTATGCAGCCAAATAAAAGACCGAGATAGTGATTGGAAAATTCCAGAATATACTGTTCAGTGAAAAAAGCAAGACACAAAACGTTGTACGAGGTGGAGCGAGTAACGTGTTGGTGTTCTTATCTGTCTGTAGCTGCACGAGGAGACGCTGGGAGCATAGACGGGGAATGAATCTACTAGTGAAGTGTTTTCCTGCCCATTTGGAAGATTCCGGAACCTTTTCCTCTAGTTAGCTCTGGGGCTCAGGGTAGTCAGAGGCAGCATTAGGAATGAAACTCTGCGGTTACCTTTTCATGTCAGTTTGGTGTTTGAACCATGTAAGTAAATGCTCAAATTTGAGAGGAAAGAGGAGGCGTCACAGGCCTAGAAAGCCCATTTCCTGGGCGCCCGCCAGGCCCCGAAGGTGCGCACTTACCCAGAGCCGCGATGATGAGGAAGAAGGAGGCCGCCACGAGGAAGGCCAGGTCGGGCTTGGTGTAGGACAGCAGCTTCTGCAGCGTGGCCCCCGACGCCTGCTCCGACGCCGGCTGGTCCTCGGCGGGGAGGCCCTCGGCCTCGGCCTCGGCGCCCGCCCCCGGCTCCAGGGCCTTGGCGCTCGGCCGCACCGTGGACAGCAGCCGCCAGAGCAGGAAGGAGGCTGCGAGCGAGATGTAGGTCCACACGAAGAGGGCCCAGAACCACGGGTCCCGCACCGGCTTGCGCACCTCGGAGAAGAGCAGCAGCTTCACCATGGTGTAGATGCCCACCAGGAGGCACACCAGGGCGATGACCATCCAGGAGGCCCGCAGCCGCCGGGGCCCCAGGGCGCTGTTCTTGGCCACGCCGATGGTGGCCCCCAGCAGCAGGCAGCTGCGGTACAGGCAGGCCGCCCAGAGGTCCAGCACCGAGTCGAAGACGTTGAAGTGGCGGATGTCCTCCAGCAGGCTGCGGTCCAGGTGGCTGAAGATGTAGATGGCCGTGGTCATGCCGACGTCCGTGGTCATGAAGGCCAGGGTCACCACCACCGCCTTCCACAGCTGCATCCTGCTGGCTGGTGGGGTGGGGCGGGGGGCCGGCACCGGGGGAGGGGAGCAGGCTCTAGCTCATGGGGGGCAAAGCCATTGTCTGTGGGGTGAGGCCAGACCTGTTGGGGCAAAAGGGCGAGGGGTGAGGGTTTGCTACCTCCTGGCTGTGTGACCTTGAGCAAGTCACTCGGCCTCTCTGAGCCTCAGTTTCCTCATCTGTAAAGTGACAATGACAAGAGAAGGGGCGTTGCGAAGATTCCGTTCACCCAAGGACTAGTTCCTGGCGCACCCTGTGGGCTAGACTCTGTTCTTCGTGTTGGGGATTTAACAAATAAACAAAAATAACAAAGACCCCTGCTCTTGTAGCGATGACACATTCATGCTAGAAACGGAGTAAGTAGATGATTTAGTATGTTAGGGATAGGACTGGGGGGCGGGGAGGAAGTGGGGTAGAGGATGGAGGGCCATGGGGCTGAGGGGTGCCAGGGAGGACTGAGCTGTGAAGGTAATACTTGAGCAAGATTGAAAGAGGTGAGGGAGTCCACCATGTGGATCTCTGGGAAAAGCATTTTGGGCGGGCGGAACAGACAGGGTCGGAGGCCTGAGGTCGGACTGTGCGGATGTGCTTGAGGGAGGCGGGGAGGCCCCACGAGGTCAGAGAGGTGAGGGGCCAGGGGTCTGGAGGACTTTGCAGATGAAAGCTGAGACAAGCAAAGAGTACAGTAAATGGCTGCTGTTCGACTACAACTATTACTGCTGTTAATTTCTCTGAACCCGTTTCCTCATTTGTAAAACGTTAGCATGAACATCTGGGCACAGTGCCTGGAACGTGATAACCGCTGCCGGTGGTTATCACCGTATACAGTGGGTGCTTAATAAGTGTTTGTTCACGTCTCTCCTCCCCAAATAAACTTTTATCTTCTTAGACCAAGAGAGGGTGGCTGTAGGCCCTAGAGCAACCCAGGGACTTTGACATCTGCCCGGAAGGTTCCAGAATCTTGGCCCTCGCCCCCAGCCCTAGGATCTTTTGGTTTTCTAGAGCTTGATGTCTGCTTTGTCTAGAGCACCTCCAACAGTGAGCCCTACCGGACTCAGCCAGGCCCTGGGAGACCCCGGAGCTGCAGGGACCCTGTGGGACGGGGACCTGGTGGCGTGAGCGTGGGCGTGGGGCTGGGCTGGGGAGTGCCTCTGAATGCTGCCTCTTGACTTGGGTCTGACCCTCTCTTGAGTTTTTATTATCCCATCTGCAAAATGGGGTACTTAAGGGGTGGGGCACGGGGCAACAGGAGGGGTAACCAGAGTGACAGAAACACCAGCCCGGTGTTTCCACATCCCCACTTACAGTTGGGTAAACTGAGGCACAGAACGGCAAAAGCATATGCCCCGTAACGCTCTGCCGACAGAGGCCCGAGCCAGGACCTGAGCCTGTGCGTGAGGATCCCGGCGGCTGACTGGACTCCTGTGCCGCCCGCCGGGCACACAGCCGGTGCTCAGTCGCCGCGAGCACGGGTGTGGAGCCCAGCCAGCGGCTCCCATGGGCCCGGCCCCCTGTGTCACCCTGCGCTTTACACGTGTCCGCTTATTTGATCCTCCCAACGACTTTGCGAAGATGTGAGCTGACATCACCCCCGTGAGCAGGTGGAGAAACTGAGGCCCAGGGAAGCTACTAACTTGCCGGAGTTCACACAGCTGGGGAGCAGCAGAGCCGGGATTTGAACCCAGACCTGTCTGGCTCCCTACGTGGGCTCCAAACCGCTAAGCTAGAACGCTCATCGATACGGCAAGTGCTTGCAGGGGGTGTTCCTCCAAGGAAAAGAGAGTCTCCGTGAGCGGGGGTTCTGCCAAGCGGAGCTGGTGACAGTAATGACCACAATGACGGCAACAGTAACGGTAACGGCGGGTGGCACTTGCCGACGTGAGCGTGTGCCTGGCCCTGTTCTAAGTGAAGCACACGCATTCATGCCCACGAGAATCTTCAGAGGTCGGTCCTATTATCCCCGTTTTATAGAAAACTGAGACACAGAGAGTTAAGCGACCTGCCTCAGGTCACACAGCTAAGAAGTGGCAGAGCTGGATGCGAACCCAGCCTGTAGATGTCCAAAGTCTGTGCCCTCAACTCCAAAGTCCTAATCCTTCAAAACACCCTCTCCCAGTGACACTCAGGAGGGGTCTGAGATGCAGAGAGGACCCAGGGGCGTGCTGGTCCCCAAGCCTGGGCCCTGCCTACACACCAGTACACCAGCCAGACTCAAGTCTGTCCCGGGGAAGGCGGTTGCCTTGTCAGCAGCTGCCCCTCCCAAGGAAGCCAGAGCAGAGCGGGACCAAAGGTGTGGGGGCAGGGGAGACACCCCCTGCCAAGCCCTTGCTCCGCCCCCAGCCCTAGCCGGGCTGCTGGTTCAGCTCCTGCCTGCTGCAATGCAGAGGCCCCAGAGCCCGGTGAGTGGGTGAGCATGAGTCGAGTCGGAGCCCAGGGAGGGGTGCTGTTGGCCTGGTGCGGCGGCAGGCCTCCTGGCCAAGCCATTGCTGGCCGCCCGGGCCCTGCAGCCGCGTTGCTGCTGCTCCCCTCCTGGTGGCACAGGGAGTCCCTCAGCCCCCAGAAAGATTCTGGGGTTCAGAAGTGGGACCGGAGGAGATCTGCCAGAGACCAACCCGTGGGCTTGCTAGCTCTTCCTGGTGCCCCCCCACCCCAGCCCCCGCACCCTCAGTCACTGGGGAACTTCCTTCCTGACACCTCTCTGCCTCGGGTAATGTCAACCCCATTGGACAGCCACTGGGGAGGCCCGGTTGTTGATACCGAAACAAACAACATTTTGCATTCCAGCATCACACACTATCTGAGCCCTGTTTGACATATGGAGAGACTGAGGTCCAGACAGGGAGGCAGCGAGGCTTGTCTAGGGTCACCCAGCAAGCGGGAGGCAGAGCAGCGACAGCACTGTGGTCCCCGGTTCCCAAGTGCCCGGTCCTCCTAGTCCCGGCTCAGATGGGGCCGGATCCAAGTCGGGCCGGGTTACAGCCCTCGTTCGGGACAGGTTGCTCTGCTATTTTTCAAGTTACGAGCAGCAGGGTGGAGGGGACCAGACCACCAGCCGTGAGGTGACGGTGAGGAGGGGAGAATGAGGGCCACAGGACCGCCAGGAGGCATGTCCCTCTTCCCGCTGTCTGAGCTGGAGGACTCGGCCAGGGGAGGCTGGAGGGCAAATCGTGCGTGTGGCCCGAGGGACAAGCACACGGCAGTGGCCAGAGGCCAGAACAGACACCGCCCAGGGCCTGACCTGCCCCAGGAAGATGGGGCAACTGGCCTCGACCCCAAATATTGGATTAGCCAGGGACCCTGCCCCACAGGGGTTCTGCCGGTCAAAGGCTTTTCTTCCCAGAAGAAATGGAGGTCAGGGCACCTCCAGCTGTCAGCACAGCACAAAAGGGAAGTCTGGAACAGCCAGCCAGGAGATAATTACTAATAATAATAATTACACTCACAACAGCTGCCCTTTATGGGCGCCATTAAGTGCTGAGTGCCTGGCACCTTGCATCTCAGTTAATCCTCACCACCACCCCAGGGCGGGCGGGCGGGCGAGCCGCCAGTCCTCACCCCCATTTTACAGATGGGCACAGAGGCCTGCAGAAGTGAAGTGACAGGCAGAGAGCAGGCAAAGGCAGGACTGAAACTCAACACTTCCCTCTGGAGGGGTGGGGGGGGACCTTGCCCAGGGACCAAAAGAACAGGATCCTGAAGAACCTGGTGGCCCAAGGCCAGGTTCATCCCTAACCTGGTGAACTTCTCACCCCAGTGGCCATGCATCACCCAGTGCTGGGAAGGGGACCCTGGCTGAGCGAGGCCAGGTCTGTGGGATGGTGTCACCGTGGGGTCTCCGGACGCATGGCCAGGACGGACGGAGCTGGGTCCACCATCCTGGTTCCATCCTGGCTCCCAGCATCGCTGAGCCCCCACCTCCCATGCTCCCCCGGCTCTCTCTCGTGAGGCACACGGAGCTGCCATGGCCCTCCTACAACCCTCCTCTTGCCACCTGGCATTGGTCCCACCTGAAGAGGGGGATGGAAACCAGCCTATCTCCAGGGGGTGGGGCAGTGGGCAGAGGGCAGGGAATCCTGTCGGAGCAGCTTCAAGATCGGGCCTGGGCGGGGGCACCCTGTTCTAACAGAGGCCCAGGAATAAGTGTGTGTGTGGGGGGGGGACTACAGGCCTAACTGCCAGGGTGAATGCATGAGGCCATCGGCCAGCTGGGGAGACGGAGGGAAGGGGTTTGCTAAGGTAGGCAGACTCAGGAGACCCCAGGCGCTTAGGATGTGTGGGCAGCCCCGCAGTGGGGGGCAGGGAGCCCTCAGAAGACAGGTCAGCCCCATCCTGCGGGGGGGGGGGGGGGGGGGGACAGACATCCCAGGATCCTTCCCAAAGGCATTCCCACCATTTTCCAAGAGGCGGCGGCGCCCGAGGGGTTAAAAAAATGCAACATTTACCCTGCCGGGGCGTGGAAGGGATGCTGCAGGCGTGGGGGGCTTGGACCGGCAGCCGAGGGCGCGGGGCACCGGGGCGGGGGCCAGAAAGACTCTCAGGAGGCTCCCGCCTTCAACGGAGATGCCTACCCCACCCCCGGGGAAGGGGGACCCAGGCGCCCCCCAGCCTGCGCCCCGCTTGGTAGCTCGGCCTGGAAAGGACCCAGGCCGGGGGTCCCGGGCGCCGCGCCCTTACCTGTTACCTTAACTGGCACCAGGTAAGCCGTGAGGAGGGGGCGCAGCGGGCTCGGATCGTCGGGGGCGCCTCCGCGCCGCGCATTGGAGACTGCACCCCGCGCAGCGCTGGCTCCGCTCCTCCCGCCTCCCGCCCCGGGTGCGCGGCAGCAAGGTCGGAGCCCAGCGGGGCGGGCCCCGGGCCGGCTGACAGGTGGGGCGGGGCCTCCGGCGGAGGGCGGGGCGGGGAGGGGCCTGGGGGCGGGGCCACCGCTGGCCGCCCGCCCACCTGCGACGGGCCCCGCCCCATCCGCGCAGCCCGGGCCTCCTCACGGGGAAAGGGCCTCATCTGCTCTTGAGCCGGCCTTTTTCTCCGGATGGAGGGCGGGGTTACGGTCCTCATTCATTCAACAGACACACGCCCAGCACCTACTGTGTGCCTTGCACCATCCTGAGCCTTTGAGACACAACAGTGAAGAAACAAGGTCCCTGCCCTCCTGGAGCTAGACCTTCTAGTGCGGGACCCCGCGATACCTGTAATGAATGAATAAGACAATTATGTGTTGGAAGGGGAGACACTTTATGGAGAAAAATAGGGCAGAGCCCGGCCTGCGTGGCTCCGTGCTTAAGCCTCGATCTATGAACCGGGTGGTCACGGTTCGGAGGGCACATGATGGGGGTTGTGGGCTCGATCCCCAGTATGGAGCATGCAGGAGGCAGCCGGTCACTGATTCTATGTCATCATTAATATAGATAAATATATCCCCTTCCTTTCTGAAATAAATATTTTTTTAAAAAATTAAAAAGAAAAGAAAAATAGGGCAGAGTAGCAGGGGATTGGGAGAGGGGAGGCAGCACTAATGTGCTGAGTGAGTGCTGGGAGCTTGGAACCCAGCTGAGCGTGGAAAAGAGACAACCTCCCTCTCCCCCCTCCTTTGGGAAGCGGGGGGGGGGGGGGACAGGAAATCAAATAAATACATAGGATGATTTCAGATACTGATAAGGGTTGTAAAGGAAATAAAACGGGGTGCAGCATGGGCTACTGTAACTGGGAAGGGCTCCCGGAGAAAGGTGAAAGGTGAGAAGGGGTGAGCCTGGGAGGGGTCTGGAGGAAGCGCATCCCAGGCGAAGCTGAAAGGCTCTCATGTCCGAACTTGCTGCCTGGCCACTTGAGGAACAGAAAGGGATCAGTGTGGCCTGAACCAAGAGCCAGGGAGAGTAGGTCAAGGCCCAGAGGGGCAGCAGGTGGGGCAAGATACCTCCACCGCCCTCCTCCCTCAGTCAGAGGCTTACAACGCCCTCTGATTTATTTATTTGTATTTTAAAGTATATTTTTATTGATTTCAGAGAGGAAGGGAGAGGGGGAGAGAGATAGAAACATCAGTGATGAGAGAAAATCATGGATCAGTTGCCTCCTGCACACCCCACACTGGGATCGAGCACGCAACCTGGGTATGTGCTCTGACCGGGAATCCAACTGTGACCTCCCACTTCACAGGTCGACATTCAACCACTGAGCCACCCGGCTGGGCAGCGCCCTCTGATTTAAAACAGGCTCCGCTAGTCGGGCTGGCATGGCTCAGGGGTTGAGCATCGACCTGTGACCCAGGAGGTCGAGGATTATTGATGTTACTATCTCACTCTCCTTTCCTCTCTGAAATCTATAAAAATATATATATTTTTAAAATAGCCCTGACCGGTTTGGCTCAGTGGATAGAGCGTCAGCCTGCAGACTCAAGGGTCCCAGGTTCGATTCCAGTCAAGGGCATGTACCTTGGTTTTGGGCACATCCCCAGTAGGGAGTGTGCAGGAGGCAGCTGATCGATGTTTCTCTCTCATCGATGTTTCTAACTCTCTATCCCTCTCCCTTCCTCTCTGTAAAAAAATCAATAAAATATATTTTAAAAAATAAATAAAAATAAAACAGCCTCTGCTAGTCACATGGGAGAGCCTCTTTCAAGGGGAATTTGGAGAAGTTCAGAATTTAAAGTGCACTTTTTTTTTTTTAACCCAGTAGGAATTTCTTCTATAGATAGACTTGGAGAGGGGAGCAAAGATACTGGCTTGTGGACAGTTACTGGAGTAGCAAAGTCTGGAAGTAACCTAAATATCCTCCCATTCCATAGGGAACTGGCCGAATAATTACACAGCATCGCTCAACGGAATACCGCACAGCAGTGGAGACAAATCTATGAGCCTCCCTATACATAGTTACGTAAAGGTATGGAATGACCTAAATGTACTGAGTCAAAACAAGGGACAGAGCCCTGGCTGGGTACTCAGTTGGTTAGAGCATCACCAACTGATACACCAAGGTTGCAGGTTCGATTCCTGGTCAGGGCACATACAAGAATCAACCAATGAATGCATGAGTGGAACAAGAAATCAATGTGTGTGTTTTTTCTCTCTCTCCTTTCCTCTCTCAAAAAATATTTTAAAAAGGACAGAATACAGTTGAAGTGTGTTACTGTTTGTGCAAAAACAAAAGCAAATATATGATTGCACCTGAAGAGCCTATCTTGGATGGTTTATCTAAAAGTTAGAGTGGCCCTAACTGGTTTGGCTCAGTGGATAGAGCGTCGGCCTGCGGACTGAAGGGTCCCAGGTTCGATTCTGGTCAAGGGCATGTACCTTGGTTGCGGGCACATCCTCAGTGGGAGGCGTGCAGGAGGCAGCTGATCGATGTTTCTCTCCCATCGATGTTTCTAACTCTCTATCCCTCTCTCTTCCTCTCTGTAAAAAATCAATAAAATATATTTAAAATAATAATAATAATAATAAAAAATAAAAGTCAGAGTGACTCAGATCTGGGTCCAAATCTAGGCTCTGTCATTTTTGCTGCGTGAAAACAGCCAACGCCATATCGAAGGAGAAAAACAAAGCCATAGGACTGACACTACCCAACGTCAAGACTTACTGTAAAGCTACAGAAGTGAACACAATGTGGTCTTGAGCAAAAAATAGACAGATCAATGGAACAGAACAGAGAGCCCAGAAATAGACCCACATAAAAATAGTCAACTGATCTTTGACAAAGAACCAAAGGCAATACAATGGAGCAAAGGTATTTTTTTTTTTTAAACAAATCGTGAAGAAAGCAGGTGAACAGACAAACTGGGGTCCATCCAGATAGTGGAACGTTATTCACCGCTAAAAAGAAATGAGCTGTCAAGCCAGGAAAATACATGAGTGAACCTCAAATGCTTATTTCCCAAGTGAAAGAAGCCGCCTGAAAGGCTACAAACTATGGAGACAGGAAGAAGGCCAGTGTTACGAGCGGTTAGGAGGAGGGAGTGGCGAATAGACAGAGCACAGAGGAATTTTTAAAATTAAATTTATTATTTAGGAGAGAGGATTTTTAGGGCAGTGAAACAATGCTGTGTGATACTGCAATGGTGGCCACACGTCATTATACAGGGTCACAAACCTGAGACTATAAAACTCCAAGAGGGGAACCCTACTGTATACTGTGGACTTTGGGTGAGGATGTGTCAATGGGCTTTCATTACTGTAACCAATGTCCACTCTGGTTCAGGGAGTTGACAGTGGGGGAGGCTCTGGATGTGTATGTATAGGGGGGGAGCAGAGAGTATATGGGAAATCTTTCTGCTCAATTTTGCTGTGAACCTAAAACTGCTCTTAAAAAAAAGTCTATTAAAAATGGTTAAAATGGTAAATTTTCATCATGTCTATTTTACTGCAAAAAAAAAAAAAAAAAAAAAAGAATGTTTCTAAACGGGAAACAATGCAAAAGCCCATTAGCTACAGAATGGCTCAGCGAATCGAAGAATGCGCAACCCCTGTGGAATACTACGCAACCATGAAAAAGAATGAACTGCTGCTACACAGCCCACAGAAGAACCTCAAGAACAGAATGCCGAGTGAAAGCAGCAGCATACAAATACTCCTACTATACGATTTTCTTTGTAGCAAGCTCGAGAACAGGTCTTTGCTCCTAAGACCCTTGGGAGATGGGTAGTGAGTGAGGTGAGGGGACATGGGGAGGGGCTTTCTGGGAAGCTACAATGTTCTGTTTTGGACCTGGGTGCTGGTCACATGGGTGTCCGGTTTGTGAAAATTCACCAAACTGTACACTTATGATTTGTACCCTTTTTGTGTGGGTATTCCATGTTCATGCAAAAGCATGTGCTATATGTACGTATGTACACACACCTATGCATGTGCATACACACAGAGACACACACATGTGTATGCGTGCACACACCACCCATGCCACTCTGGAGCCACACAGGATGGGTGTTCTAATTCTCACTGGGTTTATGACCCTGGACAGGGCCCCTACACTTCCCCTAGCCTCAGTTTCCTCATCTGTAAAATGGAGGTAATGGAGACACCTGCTGCGGTTAATAAAATGAGTCATTGCTGGCTGGGAGGCACGCTGATTGGGTGCTTACTGTTATATTCTTCTCGCTGGGGTTCTCTTTCGCGATTGAGCCAGGCTGGGGCGGGCTGGGGGCTGGGACGCTGTCTCCGAGGAGGGCCAGTCTAAGCTGACAGGCAGAGCAGGCTCATCTTGCAAACTGCTGCGAAAGGGAGAAACCTGACCGGGTGGGGGAGGCGGCTCGCGCCAGGCCAGCGCGGTGGCAGGCTGGGGAGCTGGCCTGCCCAGGGCCTGCTGGGGGGGAAGGCAGTGAGGGGGGTGCTGAGCACCGAGCTGGGGAAATAGATCCTTTGCTGGCAAGTAGGGCCCTTCACTATCGCTGGGCAATCAAGATGCCTGTGAAACTTTAAACACCTTCTCAGGCCACACAGCTCTGGGCTGGGGAGTTGGGTCCTTGAAAAGGAAGCTGGCCCCCGCGGCCGTTCTCCTTAAGGAAGACTGGTAGCTTCAGCAGGCTTGGGCTGGAACTGAGGTCCCCGTGGCCCAGTGACCTTGATTGTATGCCTGAGGGGGAGGGGCGCCCATGCAGGCCTTTATAAACAAGCCAGCAGTCAGATAGATGTGAGTTCCATTCCGGACTCCACCACTTACGAGCTGTGTGACTTTGGGTGGGTCACTGGACCTCTCTGAGCCTCTTCTTCTACATCTGTAAAATGAGGATAGTTCCTGTCTCATAGGGTTTGCTGTGAGGATTCAACAGCTGCCCTTTGCCTGGAGGGTAAAGTTCTAAATGTTAACCGTGGCCTCCTATGCCCAGTGATTCGGCCCCAATACCACCCTGGTCCCACTGCCTCCGGCTTGCCCTCTCATGGTCCTTGCTGGTCAAGGCCAGCCCACAGCAGATGTTAAGTGACCTGCACTCTGTCCCCTGCCTACGACCCTTCCTGCCAGACCTTGCTGCCGCAGTTAGGGCTCAGCTGAAATGTCCCTCTTTGGGGGGGCCTCCCTGGCCAGCTGTCCAAAGAAGCCACTTCCAGGCCCCTCCCACTGTGTCTCCTGGCACTCGCAACCAAGTGAGAATAACCCCATCATGTGATGGTTTCCTCGCTTGCCCGTCTCCCCTCACTTGACTCAGACCTTCAGAAGGGCAAGGACCTTGTCTGTCACTCAAAACACACTTGCACGTGCACAGCTCACACACGCGCAGACACACACTCACACACGCGCGGACATACACACGCAGGGAGGTCTGAAAGCCCCTGGCCAGCCAGTTGTGAAAACCACTCGGGCTGTTGGGCTGGGCTTTGCCCAGAGAGCAGGCGCCCTCTCCTGGTCCCCGAAGGCACTGGGGAAAGGCGGGGACACCGCTGGCTGGAGCCCTGGATCCCCAAACGTGCTGACGGAGACACCGAATCACAGAACGTGAGGGTCTCCGTCTCCCTTTCGGGCTCCGGGGCTTCAGTCCGAGCAACGGTGGGTCTTGGAGCGGAAGTCGCAGAGAGGAGAGAGGAACCGGGCTGTGCTGCCCGTGTGCGTGTGGGCAGGTGAGTGGGATGTGAATGTGGGTGAGTAGGTGTGGGGGGGTGTGTGCACGAGTGTGCAACCATCACTGTATGTGGAATGTGTTCACGAGGGTGTGTACGCGAGGGTGTGTGCTGATGGCATGTGTGGTTGCGTGTAAATGTGTCAGCATGGCCGTATGTGTTAGCATGGACATGTGCTTACGGTGGCCCGCAGACATGTAAGAACAGGGGAAAGGAAAGCAGACTCGTACAGAAAATGCCAACAAGCACAAAGAGAAAACTCAAATTCCCTCCGCATCTCACCCTCACCACTGACCCCCCGTGGCGGTGAACAGGGGAGTCCGAGAGCAGACTGCGGGGTTCAAACCCCATGCGTGTCCCTTACAGGTGAGTGACCTGGGGCCGGTCCCCGCACTTCGGAGCCTCAGTTTCCCCATCTGTAGCACACGAAGACGTAACAGTACCCAGCTCAAGGGTTTGCTGTAGGGGTGAAAGGCGGGTGAGGGATCCAGAAGTCCGGGGGGGAGGAAGCGGGGACAACAGGCGCCGTCACTTGCAGTCACCGGTGTATCTGGGGTCTGGGCGGAAGTCCTGCGGCCCAGAGTCTTCCTCCCCACCCGCATCCCGCATAACGCGGTCACGGAGGAAACGCTAGGGCGGGGGTCAGGGACCAATTCCAGGGGAAGGGACTTCCTCCCCTGCTCCGCGCCTCAGTTCTCCCATCTCGGTGATAGGTTTGCAATCCAATCCAAGCCACTTGCTCCAGTTCTGCAGACCTGGGCCTGGGGGGGTGCACGGCGGACCATGACGGGGTCCCGGTGTGTGCGGCGATGGGTCTCTCTCAGGTTGGGTTGCACGCGAAGAGAAATAGCACTCATCTCGCACAGCGGCTGCGCAGATCTGGGAGGTTTGTGCGGGGTGTGGCCGCGGAAGACCACGCCCTACTCCCCCGCCCCACACCTGACTGCCACCGGAAGTCACGCCGGACGGAACGTTTTTTTGTGGAGACACTGTGGCAACCGGCGGTGACTCCTAGGAGACAGCGGGGGCAACGGGAGAGCGGGGACAGGGACCGGGTAAAAATGCTAAACCCCAAGCTCAAACGCACAGAACTGGATGGTTCATAGCATTTGGAGGAAACGCGACGGAACCTCAGGGCGCCTTTAACTGTCCCCGTGGAGTTGGCTGGGTCTTCAAAAGCTCCGAGCAGAAAAGGGAGGTGGCAAAAGGTCTTGGGGGGGGTCCGAGTCCCCGCCTCGAGGATGGGGACATTGTGAGGCGGCGGCACTGGAAGGCCCGGGAACATCTTTCTACACCGCAGACCGTTTTCGGGGGGCGGGGCGGGGTCTTCGTTCTTCTCTGCGCGCGGGAATTTAGACCGGACCCTTGGCTGCCGGAAGTGGGCGTACCCGGAAGTGCTCATACGGAAGCCGGCGGGGCCGCGCGCGCCCCCTCACCATGGCGACGGCGGGCGTCCCGCAGCGCTTCTGCCGCTGCGCCTGCTTCTGCTCCGAGAACTTGTACGTGGCGCGCTACGGGCTGCACGTGCGTTTCCGGGGCGAGCAGCAGCTGCGCGCGGACTACGGCCCCGTGAGTGGCCTCCATCGGCTCCGCAGAGGAAGGCGCGGGAGGGCTGGCGGAGGAGGGACCCTTGTCCCCGCGGTCGCTGGCTTTGCCCGCGTGCTCACATCTGACTGCAGCAGTGGCTTGCCCTCTCGGTGCCCCAGTTTTCTCCCCTTAACTGGGGATAAGCGTAACTCCCTAGTGAGGCTGTCGAGAGGGTGAACTAACATATGTGCTTAGGGCAGGGCCTGGCTCAGGGAACCCCGCTCTGGACTTAGCGCTCATCGTATTTCATCCTCACGGTGGTCCCCTGCGGTCCGGGCTCTCATCTCCATTTTAGGAGGGGAAACTGAGACTCAAGAGATGTTAAGTGACTTGCCCAGGGTCATGTAGTCGGGTGCATTGACCTTTCTGCTCCTAGATCCTGCGCAGCCGAGGCTGTGTCACCCCCAAGGACTTCCAGCAGCTGTTAGAAGAGGTAACACTCACCACCCTCCAACGCCCCTACACACCCGGCCTAGACCTTCCATTTTAGATTTGTGTCGGCGGCTTGAAGGGGTGTCCCAGCCTCAGGCCTGCCAGTCCCAGATCACCGAAGGGCTCCTTAAACCCTCCTTTCCCCCTTCCTGTGCCCACTCACTGTAGCAGCCGGGGCCTGGCACCAGAAAAGGAGAAAGAGGGCGGGCTGCCAAGTTGCCTTACTTCATGCTCTTTTGAGATGAAAAAAATGGGCTCAACAAGGGGAGTCCGTTGCTCAAGGTTTCACAGCCCCTGGGGTTGAGGTCCTGCCAGGGCTGCCAGGCTCCCTCCGACCCTGCTTCCCTTGCCACCAGGGCTGCTCCCCATCTCACCCCTCCTCCCTCACCTGGGGGTTAATGGTGGGAAGCTTCCCGGGAGAGCCCTCTGCTGGGACTTTGTTCCCCTCCCTGCATGGCCCCAGCTGGCTGAGGGGCATCGCAGGGCTGTCATAGCCCAGAGTGGGCTGGGCCCCCTTCTGGAAGGAGTCCCCTTTAGCTAATAGCGTGGCACCCGCAATCAACCCTATCAGAGTCGGGGGCATAGGAAGACTTGGCTCCCGGCCTGGGCCCTGCTCTGGCCTTCCTGAGCCTCAGTTTCCTCATCTGTACAATGGCCTCGAGGGGATGAGAGGCCCTGACCTGGTAACCAGGCCCTGTGCCACCCCAGCTGGAGCAGGAGGTGGAGCGGCGGAAGCGCCTAGGGCAGGAGTCAGCTGCCAGGAAAGCCCTCATCGCCAGCTCCTACCACCCGGCTCGGCCTGAAATCTACAACTCACTGCAGGTACCCAGCAGGGGCAGGTTACTGGGAGGAGGAGGTATCCAGGCTGGGGAGGCTGCCTGCCCCACAGTGGGTGTGTGTTCTCTCCCCCAGGATGTGGCTCTGGCCCCCGAGTTTCTGGCCGCAGCTGAGTACAGCGCATTGCCAGGTGCAGACCTCAAGGGCCTCCTCCAGCGGCTGGAGACGGTGTCGGGTGAGGTCTTGGCCCCATGACCTGGCAGGACTAGGGGGTGGGAGGCTGGGGTCCCCTCTGTCCATTATGTGTGCCTCCAAAAATCAAACCAGCAGGGGCTGGAAGGCACAGGAGCAGGGCATCTATGTCCATCCATGCACTCACCCAAGAGACACAGCTGTTCAGTGTCTTGTCAGGCATGAACCAGTTGGGGTGACTGAAGAGCTTAAGGAAGGGATAGTTGAGAGTGTGGGCTGAGCTAAAAGGATCAGCAAGGGAGGTGAAGGACCCTAGCAGGGCCAGCAATAGAGGGGAGCGTTCCCGTCTCTGCACTGGAAGGAGTGGGCAAGATGAAGTTTCTTGACGCTGCCGGGACCTGGAGCTGTGGGAGGGGCTGCCAGACAACCGGCAGGAGCACACAGCCCCGCCAGACTCCAAAATGCCCCGTCTCTCTTTCTGCCCTCCACCTCCTGCTGGGGCCTCCCCTGGCTAAACCCAGCAGAAGTCCTAGGCCAGGGAGCCTTAATCTGTCTTGGTTTCCTCCTTTGTGAAATGGGAACGATAATACCACCCATCTCGAAAGGTGCCGTGATGATCGGGTGAGAGGCTGGAGCGTGGTATGTGTCCAGAATTCTCCGGGTCTTCCGGTTACTGTTATCCTGGGTCTGGGGGATACGGTGGGGGGACAGAGGTAAAAGCCACGCCCCTCCGGGCACCTGCATCCTGTGGGGGCGCAGGGTAGAACGAGACTCCCCTTCCAGGCTGGGAGGGGACTCATTGCCATCTACTCCAGAGCAGCCGAAACTGTAAGGAGGCTGTTTGGGTGGGGCTGGGGCTGCTTGTGAGTTGGCCCAAACGTGTGTGTCTGCCAAGAATGTCCCCGTTTCCATTCTGAGCCGCGCCTCCCCCCACCAGCGCCCTACAAAAAAGCAGCCCCCCTCAGCCTTCCTTGTGGGGAACAGAAACTCCAAGAAACCTCTGAGTTGGGGTGCAGACTTTGGCGGTTCACTGGGGGGAGGGGTGCAGAGAGAGCCCGAGCAGGCTCTGTCCTGGCCTGGCTCTGCGGCTGGCCTGCTGGGTGTCCTTGGGCTAATCCCTCCCCATCTCAGCGCCTCATCAGAACTCACATTTGAGTCTGAAGGCTAGACCGTGGCACCCCTGGAAGCAGGATGAGGGGCTCCAGGGATGAGTGTGTGTGTGGCGGGGGGAGGGGGGTGTGTGAATTGGAGAATAGAACCCCCCCCCCCCCGGGCTGTGCATACCATGCATATTTAATCCTCATAATGGCCCCGAGAGGGGTGTAGAGTTATCCCCATTATACAGATGAGGAAACTGAGGCTGGGGAAGTGAAAAGGCATGCCCAGGCTCACACAGCTCGGGGAGATTGAAGCGCAGCCCGAAGCTCCTGGCCGACAGACTGTCCTCCCTGCAGAGGAGAAGCGGATCTACCGGATGCCGGTGTTCACGGCGCCGTTCTGCCAGGCGCTGCTGGAGGAGCTGGAGCACTTCGAGCAGTCGGACATGCCCAAGGGAAGACCCAACACCATGAACAACTATGGGGTGGGTGCGGCTCAGCCAGGCGGGCTGAGGAGGCAGGGACACATGGGTCTGGGGAGACTGACCTGCAGCGCTATGGACCAGCTGTGTAGCCCTCTCTGTTCCTTCGTCTCTCCGTCTGTAAAATGAAAATCACAGGATTATGAAGTTAAACAACTCAAGGGTCACCCCAGGGACCCAGGGTGGGGCCCCACCAGCTTCCCGGCTGATCCCTCCCCATCTCGGGGCCTCATTGGAACCCCCCTTCCAGGTGCTGCTCCATGAGCTGGGCCTGGACGAGCCGCTGGTGACGCCGCTGCGGGAGCGCTTCCTCCAGCCACTGATGGCCCTCCTTTACCCAGACTGTGGCGGAGGCTGGCTCGACAGCCACCGAGCCTTCGTGGTCAAGTATGCACCAGGCCAGGACCGGGAGCTGGGCTGCCACTATGACAACGCCGAGCTGACCATCAACGTGTCCCTGGGCAAGGTCTTCACCGGGGGCGCCCTATACTTCGGGGGCCTCTTCCAGGTGAGTGTGTGTGACCCCCGGGGCAGGGCCTGGGGTAGTTGCGAGGGCCCAGGCCTGACCCCAGCTGTCCGCAGGCGCCTTCGGCCCTGGCCAGCCCCCTGGAGGTGGAGCACGTGGTGGGCCAGGGTGTGCTGCATCGGGGCGGCCAGCTGCACGGGGCCCGGCCCCTGGGCACGGGCGAGCGATGGAACCTCATCGTCTGGCTCCGGGCCTCCGCTGTGCGCAACCGCCTCTGCCCCATGTGCTGCCGCAAGCCCGACCTGGTGGACGACGAGGGCTTCGGTGACGGCTTCACCCGGGAGGAGCCCCCCACAGTGGACGTGTGTGTGATGACTTGAGCCTGGTGGGGACCTGTGTCGGGGGTGGCGTGACGGCAGAGGGCTCTGCCACCTCGGCTTGGGTTGGGCAGGGCAGAAATAAAGTCCCTGTAGCCCTTGGCACTTCTTGGTTCAAAAGGACAAGCAGGCTCTGGGTCCTTCTTTCTGCAGGTGGGCTGGCTTAGAACCGGAGATGGGGGTTCCTGCTTATCGATGGAGCGCCCTCAGGAGGAGGGAGTCCACGGAGCAGGACAAGGCAGGAAGGAGCTGGGCCGAGGGGCAGGTTCAGATGCATCTAAAGTAAACTCAGGCCCATCCCCTGGGAGCTCTGGAGCGTGAATCCACCAGTTTGCCCCAGCATCGGTGATTGGCTACAGGCTGTGTTGGGAGAGGGCATGGCGGGGGGGAGGGGATGTGTGTGAATAAGTTCCCAGATGTCCGACTCCAGCACAGGTGGCTCCCAGTGGAACGTCCAGGTGTAGCTGTCAGCATCTGGCTCGACAGCTGGGGTGAGTGCCGTCTATAAAGGGAATTTGGGTGGGTCACCTGTAGCATCTCGTAGATGGTGTGGAGGGGTTAAGAGCCTGGCCAGACTGTCTGGGTTCAAATTCTGATTCTGCCACTTCCAGCCCTGTGACTGGGTGAGCCCCTTGACCTCTTTGTGCCTCTGTTTCCTCATCTGGAAAGTGCCTATGTCTTAGAGCTGTTGTGAGAGTCAAATGATACATAAGCTTTATAAAGTGCTTTATAACAGCCCCCTGCGTTCGCTGGTGTCGTTATTGAAGGGCTGGCCCCCACATTGGGTGAGGAGAGCAGCTGTGCACACGGGCGGCACATCTGGAAACCAGGCATCTCCATATGGAAATCCTGAGTTCTGGCTTCCCTGGGAAGGTGGGAAGGTCTGGAGACGCCAGACGTGCACCCCTCAGAGGGGTCCCTTCCTCATTCACTGCCATGATCTCTGGCCCCATGTAGACATTTGAGTTGACCCTCTCCACATGGGGACGTTGGAGAAAGACCAGGGCGCCTCAGCCCTGGAGCTCACGGCCTGATGGAGTGGACAGGCGGGCAGGCAACCCAGGTTGGGAAGCGAGCGCAGGGGGGTCTCTATCTCTGCGGGGGGCCCTGGAAGGGCAATCTTGGAAGAGGGCACAACTGCAGCAAAGGGCCTGCGAGCTCGGGGGGTGGCGCCAGGCCGCAGAGCACGTCTCTCGGCCGGGAGCTGCGGGAGCAGACACGGCCTCGCACCGGCCTGGGGGTGAAACCTGGGCTCCGGCTCGCCTCTGAAACGGAGGTGGGCGCGCCAGATTCCCGTTTCCCAAGATGCCCCAGAGACGGAACTAAAGGAGGCACAGCCCCGCTTCGCAGCCGGACGGCCTCTCGGAGCACCGACCCGGCCGGAAGTCGCCTCGCCGCCACCGCTTCCTCACACAAGCGCGTGGTGCAGGGGCTGGGCCTGGTGGTCAATTGAGGAGGGAACGGGCCACCCCGGGGACCTTCCTTAAGGCGGAGGGCGGGAGGGTGCGGGTCGGCGCGCTTGAAGACGGGTTCCGAACGCACCTGGCGGGTGAGGGTCGCGGCCGTTCCCAGGGACGCCGGAGCCGCCTGCGCAGGCGTGGAGCCTCCCGGCGAGGGCGGGCCCTTAAAGGGGCCGCGGCGGCGGACCCGGCGTCCCCTGCGGGTAGTGGGTGGTTGAGGATCGTGAGGTGGCTGCGGGGTGGCTCCCATCCCTGCCCCGGGGCGGGAATCGGGGAGGGGCCCCGAGGACCTGGGCGCCCAGTCTGCGGGCTGAGAGCCTCCGATTGACCGCGCCTCCCCGTCTGCAGAGCGCGGCGCTATGGCTCCCGTCGGCTCTCGCCAGCGCTCGAGGAGTCGCAGCCGCTCGCGGGGCCGAGGGTCGGAAAAGAGAAGGAAGAAGAGCAGCAAGGACGCCCGGGGGAGCTGTTCGGCTTCTAGGTCCCACGGCCGCAAGGCCAGCACCACCTCCTCGGGGGCGGAGGGTGAGGCCGCGGGGCGTGGGCAGGTCAGCTGGGCGGGCTTCCTGCGGACGGTTGCAGGGCAGTCGCGGGGGGCGGTGGTCAGAGGGGTGCAGAGCACAGCGTGGGCGTCGGGACTGATCGACACCCCGGGCCCAGGGGCAGGGCCGGCCCCTTGAGCGTGCATCGCTGCGTGCGAGCGCGGAGGCCTGCTGTCCGTGCAGCGGGGCCTGAGCTGGGGGTTTGGCCGCCCTGCACCTGGTCAGCCGGTGCCGCCCTCCCGGGAGAGCGCTGGTCCCTGCAGGAGGCCTCGCTCTTCTGTCCAGAGCAAGGGGGCAGGTTTACTCCCCTCCCGGCCTTCCAGCCTCACCTTCTCCCCGCATCACAGAGAGAAGCAAACACCAGGCCCGGAGGAGACGGCGTTCCAGCTCCTCCTCCTCCTCTTCCAGTTCTTCCAGCTCCTCGTCCTCCTCGTCCTCCTCGTCCTCCTCCTCTTCCTCCAGCCACGGCCGGAAGAAGTGGGGGAAGCACAAGGACAAGAAGAGGAAGAAGAAGAAGAAGAGGAAGAAGAAGCTGAAGAAGAAAGGCAAGGAGAAGGCGGAGGCGCAGCCGCCGGAGGCTCTACCAGGCCCCTCGCTGGACCAGTGGCACCGACCTGCCGGGGAGGAGGAGGACGGCCCAGGTACCGTGCTGCGGGGCGTGCGGGACCAGGAGGGTCCCCGCCCAGCGGCCGTCCCCCACCTCCCTGCCGTCTCCCCTCCCAGTGCTGACGGATGAGCAGAAATCGCGCATCCAGGCCATGAAGCCCATGACCAAGGAGGAGTGGGACGCGCGGCAGAGCGTCATCCGCAAGGTGGTGGACCCGGAGACCGGCCGCACCAGGTGGGGAGTGGGCACGAGGCCCAGCCCCCGGCCCGCACTTGCAGGAGGAGGGGTGGTGGCTGCTATGAAAAGGCCGAGGATGGGAAAGTCACGTGTTGCTGGACTCCTGAGGCCATTCCTCCCCCCCAAGCAGCTGCAGGGGCTGGAAGGGCCTTCGCGAGGGTCATCGGAGAGCCATTCTCGGCTGATCCGGTGGCAGGTGGCAGAGCCCACCCGGCCACCTGTATCCCTGTCCCGAGGGTGGGAGAGACGGAGGGCTGGGGCTTGTTCCGGTGCTCTGGGTCAGAGGCTCAGCCTGCTCCCCTCCTCCCCCAGGCTCATTAAGGGAGATGGCGAGGTCTTAGAGGAAATCGTAACCAAGGAACGGCACCGGGAGATCAACAAGGTGGGTGTCGCCCCTCCGCCCAGGGCTCAGCCTCTGCTCTGTTTGTGACACGCCCCCTCCTGTGTGCTCTCTCACCTAGCAAGCCACCCGAGGGGACGGCCTGGCCTTCCAGATGCGAGCGGGGCTGTTGCCCTGAGGGCCAGCTGACCAAGGTCTGTGGGCGGTGTTGGTGGCCTGACGGGGTGGGCAGCAGGAGGCCACATGGGTGCTGTCTGTCCTCTCCTGTGGACCGGCCTCTGCTCTCAGATGCAGGGATGGAGGACGGGGTCACTGTCCTACTCAGCTCCCTCCTGAAAGAGCACAGCTCCCCGGTATTAAACGTCCCCTGGCTGAGACCTCATGCGCAGTTGTTGTTTCTTGTGCTGAGAGGGAGGGAAGGGTGCTGCCGACTGCAGGGGCCAACAGGGCTGCAGGGAAAGCCGGGTGTGCCTGGTGGTCGTGCGCTCCTCCTCAGTGAGCCCGCCTAGAACCGCCCCACCCCAGCCGCATCCCAAACCCAGAGACTTGGCTCGCTGACCCGATGCCCTCAGGCTGGGAGGGAGACTGCTGCCCTTGTGTGTTCGGTCCGAAGGTGACAACAGCCAGGAGTCCCTGTGCTGGGCCGGGCGGTCCAGTGCTCCCATGGGTGCAGCTGGCACTGTGTGCGGGACAGGCCGTGCCCCCCCCCCCCCCCCCCAGCTATGCTGCTCTGGTGGCTGGTGCAGTAACGAGACCCAGAAGGAAGCCTTTGAGCTTTTTAATTTGTGTGACAGACAATGGCACTGTATACAGAGCACACTCAGGCCCGATGGTGCAGGGACAGCAAGGGTGGGGGGTGCGGGGGAGTCAGGACACGGCTCACACATGGCCTGGACAGACAGACAGACAGACAGACGGGAGGGGGCTGAGACGTAGAGACCAACGTGGCTGGCGGGTGGGCAGCTCGGACAGAGTTGGGCGGGCTGTGGGTCTCTGCTGACTCCCTCTTTGAAGATCCAGAAGGCAGGTGGGGCGGGGTGGGCTGGGGTGGGGCTAAGGCGGCTACCCTAACAGGCCCGGGTGGGGGGCAGTCAGCAAGGCCCGCCTCACCCTTTGGTAATGACGAGTCAGGCCTGAGCCCTGCAGCTCAGCACCCGACGCTGTAAACATTTTTGGTATTTTTTAAAGGACTCTGCCCTCCCTCTCGTAGTTTCTGAAAAACTGGTGCTTCCTCAAGGAGACTGTGCCTGAAAGAATGGTGAGGAGGCAGGAAGCACACCTGGGCACAGAAGAGAAGTCGGCAGGGAGGCCGGGCTGCCCGTCTCGCCATCTATGGCTAAGGAGAGGCCCGGGGCTATTGCTGTTGTCCTTGGCATGGCTGGCGGCTGGGCAGGAAGTTGGGGAGCGCAGAGCTGTGGGGGGCTGCCCGCTGGGAGAGGCCAGCCCCCTGCCCACACGGCCTCCCCCGGCCAGGAGCCTCAGCCTTTATTGCAGGCGGGCCGAGCTCTTCCAGGTGCTTCTCCGATGGCTAGTCATCCAGGCGTGGGCCCGACGGGCCAGGTGGGGCCAGTAGAGGCGGCGGCACTGGCCACAGGGCCCCTCGCGGGGCTGATTGTCGGCCGAGCAATTCCCCGCTGGGGAGCAGGGGGGTCAGATATTGCACTTCCAACTGCAACAGTTACATTAGGACTCGGTCTATAAAATAATCGTTGCTTTATACATAAGGCCCAAAACAACAACAAAAAAGCTACATCTTAAATACGAATAAACTGAAGGTCCCATCCCTCCAGACACTTTTCTCTACACAAAATAAATAGCTTTCCCTGTGTAGCCCCCCCTCGCAGAACACCCCCCCTCGCGGAACATTTACACGACCCTTTGGCTGTACATATCTACACACGGGGAGATGGGAACGGCGGGCGGGGCACCTCCGCACCCCAGCCCGTGAGGCCCCGAGGCCGTATCCAGGTTGGCAGCAGCTTCTCAGATATGGAGCCCCGGGCTGGACGGCGGGGAGGTCAGGCAGGCTCCCCGGCCTTGAAGAAGGTGGAGGAGCCGCAGAGGGCACCCCCACGCTGGAGCCGAGCGCCACAGCTGAGATCACATCGGGCCTGGGGCGGGAGGGCTGGCGCGCAGACCTGGCAGGACAGCCCGGTCTGGACCAGGCAGGACGGGAAGCCGTAGCTGCCTGCCCTCAAGCGCACGACAGGAGTTGTGGCTTCTCAGACTCGGCATCGGAGCGGAACTGGCATTAAGAAAAACCTAAGTGTGTGCCCCACCCACCCAAGTAGAAATTCAGTGGGGTCAGGTGGGGCAGGAGCCCACAGCCCTCTGCAGGGGCAGGAGGCTGGGCCTGGGACCCAGAGCCGGGCTGGACTCCCTCACAGTGCTGGGTGTTCCCACGTGGATGGGCTGCGCTTGGTACTGAAAGAGTTAAGAAAGGGAAGCAGCCCAGGATTGCTCATTTAAAAAAACCTCGTAGAAATCAGATCGGAGAAGTAGAAAGGTGTAGAAACATGGGCGGGCGGGCCGGGCCGAGGAGAGGCAGCCAGGC